TTAATAATTTGAAAATGTGTTGCATTCTTTTATGTTGCATTTGTTTAACTCTATAAAGCTGTGTTACTTTGTCTATCTAAAACACCTGATAGGCCTAATAAAGAGCTGAATAGCCAATAATGAGACAGGAAAATGATAGACAGAGCTTCCAGGCAGAGAGAATGGTTAGGAGGGGAAATCTAGGCTTGAGATAAAAGGAAGGAATGCAAAAAAGAGAGGAGGACCCCAAGGGCAAGCCACCCAACCACACAACTAGCCACCCAGTAAGGGGGGGGGGAAGATATATAGAATAAAGAAAGGTGAAAAGCCCAGAGGCAAAACATAGTTAAAGAGAAACAGGACACTTTCCGTTAGAATAGCTGGCTAGAAACAAGCCAGGCATTCATAAGTACAAATAAGTCTCCCTGTATGTACTTGGGAAGTAGGTGGCAGTCCCTAAGGAGAGAACAAAATGAACTACAAAGATGGAAGAAAGTGAATTTAAACCAGCTTGGACTACTCAGTGAATCCCAGGGCAGCATTAGGCTATACCATGAAACAGGGTCTGAAAAAGTAACAGATTAGCAAGAAAAACAGATAAAATAAAATCTTTCACACAGACTCTAGGTAATTAATTCTTTAAAGGAATATTGCCCTCCCCATAATATAGGTGACAAATTAAACAGGAAAAAAACAATTCAACACATGGAGGATCCAATTACTCACATGTATTCTCAAATGTCAGCTTCTTCTTTTCTAAGTTATGTGCAAGCATTGAATCATCCATGGCACTCTACACAGGTGTGGTAGATAGAGAAACAATGACACAAAGTAAAAGTAGTGACAGAAGTAAGGTACTCGCTGGGGATCCCCAAAGCACCCTGGTGCTGTTGATAGGCAGCTGTGGGCTCAAGGGAAAACAGCTCAGAAAAAGCTCAGAAGACAAGCAAAACCTTGAAAATACTCCTGAACACTATAAGGAGTATTCTCCTCTGAAAAGTGAGGCTACCACTTCACAGGCTGGTGTAAAGATCTGGTGATGGACAATTTTCTTTCTTACCAGTTGTCTCATTATGGCAGACTCAGTGGTGCCAAGGCTGTGAAGGAACCCAAAATTCTTGAAATCATGGACACATCAAATAACGAACCAATATGTCTTTAAATTAACAGTCCTTCCAACAATGACTCCACTTTCACCCTGTATCATCCGTCTCAGATTCAATCTATCTCACCATCTTTCTTTTATTTTGATGTCCATAATATGCCATTTAACTTCAGTGGTCATTAATTGCAAAGTATAATGTATAGTGGGAAGGTGTAGGGCTTTACGAGGTATGTAAAGTGACAATGAGAAACTGACTGGTGGTGTGACAAAGACTAGTGTCAAGTCCACAGATTCCAATCTCAGACACTAGTGATGGACACATAACCTTAAACAAGTTGCCTAACTTCTCAGTCTTACATTTCTCATCTTCAAATGAAAATGGTAATGCTAACCTCAGTAAGGACTTACTATAAATGAGAAATTTAGTGATTGATTAATCACTATAAATACTGGTGCATATTAAATAACATCAAAAGAAGACAAAATAATATCACAGAAAAGGTACTTAAGATTGAAATAAAATTATTAATAACTAAAGAAAATATAGAAGATTCCAGAGAGTAAAAAATACAGTGAATATGAATTTGAATATAACAAAGTTTGAGGAAGCATTAAGGAAATTACTAATGTCGTAGAAACATTAAACACTGAGACAGACAGAGGGAGAGAGGGAAAGAGAGAGAGAGAGAGAGAGAGAGAGGAAGAAAGAGAGAGTATCACTGATGGCAAGCATTACATAGAGGCAGGGTAATTGGCTTGCGAGACAGTAGTAGCTGGTGGCCCACTTCACCACATATCTGTGGTCTCCCTGCTGCATTGTTTTTCAGGCTTAGCCTCTGTGATAGACAAAAGAGGTGCTCTGCATGGAGTTACTAAGGACTCTGCTAATGTCACATTCTAACTCTTTTGCCTAGCCTCTGCATCTGCACTCATTGACTCCATAGGAAAATACATCTCGAGAGAGGAGAAATGGAGATGTTATTGCTTTGAGGATTTTACCCAAACCTGAGGACAACTGAGAAGTCTTGCCTACAGATTGCAGAACCAAGTCTTATGAACTTCATATGACTGCAGCTACATGTTGTGAGTGTCTGAAACCTCAGCATTGGCCCTTAGCCATCACAGCCCTGTCTGCACATTTCTCAGTCAACATAAATGAGTACACAACATACAGCATTGTGAGTTTTACATTTGGAGATTATTTTTATATTCAGTATAGGTAACTAATACATAGTTGAAGGAACTTTCAAGTGCTATAGTGCAAATCTAAAAGGCTTTTGCATGCAATGCTGATGCTGTACTGAAGGTCACAAGGAATGGTCTTCAGTATCACCTTTCCTCTAAGCAAGGTGGAACCAGAGCTGTTTGGATGCGTAAGTCCCCTAGGGGTCTCCTTGTTAAAGTCTTGGCCTCTGAGTGATGCTGCTAGAAGACAAAGAACACCCTAGTGAACATTCTTTAGGTCATCATGAGCATGCCCTTGACATTTTGACATTACTGTCTGTCTCCAGGCTCATGCTTGCTACCACATCTGCCTTGATCTTTTATCTATGAAAAATGTCCAAAGGAATGAAGCTGACTGCCCAATCTTGGACTGAAACCTTCATAAATAAGAGCCAAAATAAGCTATTTTTCTTTATATATTGGTTGTGTCATGTATTTTGTTATAGTAATAGGAAGCTGGCTGGCACAGCGGGGTTATCAATCTCAGAGAAAATTCTGTCTGCTTTTCTGAACATTTCACCTCTGTTTATAGCCTTGTTTAAGGAGTGGTTGCCAAGGAAGAATACTGTCTTCTCTAAGTCACAGGGATGGCTACAGAAGTTGTAATAATAAAGGGAAAATAGAGACCTCTTTGCTTCTGAAGTATTATGACTATTAACTCAAGTGATCGTTACTTCTAGCATCCACATTAGCACTCTTACACTCCATGAACCTGGTTCTCTGGAGCCCAATAAAATCTATTTTAAATAAGGTTTCCAGATGTCTTCACAGTAGATACCATGGCCCTCTTACCATCTGCAGACCTGACGTCTGATTTACATCTTTAGTTTTTATTAGGTACAGGGAGTAACTATGTTCTCTGATGCAAAATTGGTGATTAAAAAGTATGATCTAGGCATTTAGAGAATCGACAGGGAGGTTTTCCACACACTCCATGGTAAAATGATGTTCCTCTGGGAAAGTTTAGTGGTGCAGATGCAATTGAGATAAGAAGCCCACAGATTCCTGCATTGCTAACCTCAGCAATGCTTTCCTGGGGATCCATCCTAGTGGTTCACTCATCTCGATGCACTCTCTTTCAATACTATTAAACTAAAGTTAGTTTTCTGGTGACCATGCTTTCTGACAATCATTTGAAATAGAACATTTACATTGCAGTGGGCAAGCTATAGATAATCACTGTAGTTAAAAGAAAATTAATTTGAACTAAATCATTAAGTTCATGTAAACAAATGCATATTGATAGAATTTCCACCAAATGTTGTTGGTGCATTAATGACTAAAGGACTGAAGCCTTTGCCTCCATGAAGCTGGAATTACAGAAAAGTGCTACAGATCAAATAATAGAGATGTTAGGAGGCAATGTAACAACATCAGAAGAGTGGGGTGCGGCTCAGGGGTTGAGAGGGGAGTTCTGTTTAAAGTAGGGCACTAAGGTAAGCCTGGGGAAGAGGGGACATTTGAACAACGGCAAGAGAGAGAAGAAAATGAACCATAGGGTTTTTCACGTACATATAGGGACAGAAACTAAGGCAGAAATGATACAAGACCTTCTCATTTCCTGGAACCTGGTCATCAGCAAAGGATCTGCTTTTCAACAAGAGAAAGAAGAGCAGAGAAGGAGAATGGGGAGGGGTGCAGGGGGAGTGCATGTAAACAGAGAGGGGAGAAAGCAGAAAAACACAGTAAGGACTCACTCCAAAACCAGAAGGTGCATTTCCTGTTCATGTGCTCATGCCATTCTGAGTAGCAGTTGCCTTCTCCCTAGCATTCCCATTGATGTGTGATATTTGATCAAAGATTTTGAAGCCACCTGGTCTCCTTAAAGGAGAGCCCTGGCATACTCCACTAGAAACCCCTTAATCTGACATGTTCAACCAGACTGAGATTGTGACTATCTCGAACCAGTTGCCTTTGTTCCTTCTGCACTCTGTTTACCAGCCCTGCGGGGAAGGGAGGCAGTATTTTTTTTAATTGCAACGATTAATGAAAGCAGGTGGAAGAAAGTGTAGTGAGTGGGTTATGAAGTAAGTTCAACAAGAGGAAAACAGCATAATAAAACAAGAAAGAAAAACAAAAAAACTACCTTAACAGTGGAGTAATTAAAGAAGCACATAGAATGTGCCCAGCATATAATGATGTGTTTAGAAGAATTACTTCAATTAAATTTCATCACAAACTTCAAAAGTGGATGCAGTTGTCTGCAAGCAAACAAGGGCCACACTATTACAAAGAAACTTGTGCAAAGAAACTTTTGTGCAGCAGTACAACTTTGTCATGTATTTGCAAGCCCCCATAGAAGAAACGCTCAGTATAAATTCGCACACATTACATGTCTACACAAAACCTGCTGAATGAAATTTACACACATTTACACATGTTGTACAAACACATAATCAATTTGAAATGATTGGAAGAAAAATAATGGGCTCAGTCCCACAATAGTTGGTATCTTAACACTGATGTATGTATCACGCCTTGGTCTCTTTCCTACCAGTTAAGAGGCTAACCCCAGAAGCTCAGTAACAACACAGTGTCCGTGATGATCCTAAAAAAGCATTAAACAACCAAAACAGCAGGGACCCCGGCAGCTTCCTACTTTTGGGCTTGCGCCCGATTCCGGCGGTAGGTGGAGCCAAGGAACCGAAAGAGAAAGAAAGCAGGCCGTGCTTGGAGGACCTCGGGTGCCGGGATGAAGCCACGGTGGGCGACCCTCTTGCTGCTGTGCTGCTGCTGTCTGGGCCGCGGGGTTGCCCGGACCTGGCCACGGAGCCACCAGCGGGAGGCGGCCGCCTTGCGGGTACCAAGTTCCCTCCTCTACCTGTCCCCTGCTCCAGGGCTCCTAGGGAGGCACCCATGCTCCAGGCACATCTTTCCCCAGCAGCGCTGCTGCCTAAAGCTTTGATTTCTCAGCATAGAGATTTTTTTTTGTGATGCGCCCCAAAGCACCAAAAAATTGTGTCCAAAGCAAAGCTAATGGAAACTGCACCCTCGGGATCTCAAAGCTGTTCTTTCCATTTCTCCTCTCCCATAGTAAACCTGTCGCTTAGAAAGCTGCCTGCGGGGGGCGCTAGCTCCCTCCTCCAAAAACTGGAAGTTCAAATGGCCAAGAGCAGGCTCATTGATCCACAGACTGCTGTGCTGGGTTAATGATTTCCCTATCCTAGGGACTCTGTACCGCATTACTGAAATGTGGTGGAGACTGAGGTAGAACAGAAGAAAACATTCCAATGTCTTTAATTCTGGTTGTTCATAAACAATTTTCATAATAATCCGTCAATGTTACTACAGCCTTAAAATTCGGAAACGGACCGATTAGCTGACTTTGGATACATTTTTCCCAGTAACTAGGGAAACTGACTGGTATGCAGACTCATACTTGGCCTCAGTTCCTGTAGCTGATGCTAACTGACACATTTTTAAATATGAAAAGATGTCATCACGATTTTTATTAGAAAAGAAAACTCACTTGTCTAAATCAAGACTCAGTCTGAATTCAGTGAAGCTGCTCACTGGAGGTGTATGTAGCTGGTGTTTCTTCAGTTAGCTTCTTCTAATGTTGTTTTCTGAAATTTCCGTGGGACTCCCTAGCTCTGCTCTCTTCTTTGGCTTTGAAAGCTCCAGTAGTAGAAGACTTGGTCTTCTTTGGCTCCAGATACCCTTGGGTTTTCTCAAATCAAAATATGTGCTTTTTTTCTCCTACTGTCACCTCTGAGCTCATTTATTGTTACCAAACCCAGGAGCACCATTTCTCACCGAAGTCTTTGGACTGTGTATTACTGAGTCCTGCCCTTCCTTCACTTCATCTCCTCATGAACCAGATACTGGGGTGTGATAGTCAGTGTCATGGTTGTTGACAATGTGTTCCTTGGTTAAATAGATGATTGTTTTTTAATCTTGAGTATTGGAAGCCAAAATAAAATAGCGGGAAGAGCAAATTAAAGAAAGAAGGGTACATTTGGCTCACACTTCCAGGGGACAGTCCATCAAGATGGGCATGTCCTGGTGGCATGAGTGTGTAGCAGCTGGCCACACTGTATCAACAGCCAGGAAGAAAAGGAGCGTGGATGCTGTGGCCTTCTTCACATTCTCATTTTTATTCTATTCAGGACCCCAATATATGATGTAGCACCTCCTTGGTTTAGAATGTCCTCTCCTCCTCAGTTACCCTAGTCTAGAAACATCCTCAGTAATATGCCCAGTGGTTTATTTCCATGTTGATTCCAAATCCCAGTAAGTGGACCACTGCGATTAAAAATCACAGTCACTGATAAAACAGAATTTGTTTGAAATTGTAATTTTCCTTCCTACTCATACTTGACTTATAGGGCAGTTGTAAACGAAACAGATATCTACACAATGCAAAACTTAAAGAGAAATGCAACCAAGAGCCTATATGGGGAAGTGGGAGGGTGGAAGTTGAAGAAAACATTCCACATCTTAGTGTAATTTTAAAACTTTGGGGTAAGAACACTACGAAAAAGTTTCCAAGCAGTCCCTGCCAGCAGAACTTTGCTTGATAAGGTAGATGCCCAATTTTCTGAGCATTTAGTCTTTAATTATAGTTGCAAACTGTGGGCACTCCTGAATGACACTGGCTGGAGAGTTGGGTACGGTGGGCTGTGTTTCTTTTGTGATCATGGGTACTAAGAAGGATCTTTCTGACTGTATGGATTAAAATACATGGTAAGTAAAATGCAGCATATAAGTCTAAAAATCTTTATTTTTACAAAATAGTTTTAATTATTGAATTAGTTGATTTGAGACTATTTTCTTGCAAGGCAAGTTGTGTGTGGAATATAGAAGCTTTCTTTGTTTCATAATAAAGTAATTTAAAGTACAATTGAGTAATGAAGCACTGTAAGTTCCACAGAATATCCCATAAATGAGAGCTCATAGCAATCCCACCAGACAAGACTCCTCCTTGGTTTATTATGGGATGCCCTGTAAGATACCCCAGAAGGGAGGGACAGCATACTCCCACAGGGTGGAGTTAGTTGGCTTTTGCCTCTTAGCTGGGAATTCTAGGTATGAGCATTAGCTGGTAGTCTTTACTTACCCTCTTTACTTACTTTCATTTGTGTTTTCTGTTGAAGGCACACCCAAGACTCAGCTTTTTGACACTGTGACAAAGGACCTGAGATGACCCACTTAAACAAAGGGAGTCTTTGCTTTTGCTCAATGTTTCATTCCATCCATAGATGGTTTTAGCTTTGAACCTGTAGCAGCCAAGAACTCCATGGAGCATGTGCTAGAGGAGACCTATCCATCTCACTGTAGCTGGGAAACAACAGGGAAGAAACAGGTCTAATCACCGTCCAATGTAGTTAACATTGGGTTAAAAGGCACTCTGCATTCTTACTTTATAAGGTGAGGGATACTAGATACCATGTTGGATCAAACAAAAGCTTTATTTATATTCCATTCAGAATGATAATGACATGCCACTGAACGTGTGGCTTTATGTACAATTTGAGGAACTTTACCCCAACACTGTAATGGCTCATGCTACATCTTAATTAAATTGTGCATGCATCCTATCTTATTTACATATATGTAGATTATTACAGCATTTTAAAATGAGTGATTATGTTGAGTGAGCCTCAGATACCTGGATTATCTCCTCCAAATACACCTCATCCATGGCTACATGAAAGCTATCATGAAGAGGTGACTTTGAGGGTAGGTAATATGGCTCCCCAGATATTTTCTGATGATTTTTAGCTTAAACCACATAGTGTCTAAGTGGAAATATAGCAAAAATTTAGACCAGATTATGTTTGTTCATTTGTCCTTCTTACCATCTACTTGTCCAAAAATTTGTGTCATTTATTCTGTGTTAGGAGCTGGTTTAGGTTCCTTTACTGAAAAATAACATATGTGGAGGACGCTAAGAAGTTATACTGCAATGACACATCTCACAGTAATATGTAAGCTGGGTGTGGCAGTGCACACCAGAAGTCACAATACTTAGGAAGCTTGAGACAAGCTCATGCAATTATATATCACTATAATTCATTCCTAATAAAGTATGAAGTACTATAAGTTACAAAATAGTTTCTCTCAATTAATGAAACACATGTAAACCACCCCCATTGTAATAAGGAATAACCTAATTCTCAGCTGAGAATCCTGAATTCAAGGTTTATAGTTCCCATATCTTGAGAGAAATTCCCAGCAATGATTCCAAATTGAGTATAGGCTTTGTTCCTGCTTTGATTTTTCTGGACCCACTGAAACCTAAATGATCTCCACAGAAAACATTTTACATGCATATGTGGAACTGATTTGTTGCACACCACACTTTAGGATTTTCCAGTGAGGATTGATAAAAGCTTAACAAATAATGAGCTCAGAGTGCTGAGGGGAAAATGGCCTTACAAATGGGCAATGGAGTGAGTTCATGTAGCCCTAGTGACTTGACAGGCTGAGGCAGGAGGGTCATTGGAGTCATGGAGTTCAAGGCCAGCCTTGGTGTATAATGAAAACCCATCTATGATTTTTAAATAAACAAAAATGAAGGACATGTACATTCGGCATGTGCATCATGACAAATGAATGTCCTTGCTTATACTAATATGGACAAAATGTATATGTCCCTCCAACCTGTGTCTTACAGGTTGAATGGCTGCATCCATGCATCATGTGCTGTGTGTGTGACTTTTGGAAAAGCATATACCCATTTATGCCTCAGTTAATTAATCTGAGAAGAGACAATGAAGTGAGTCAGTACTTCATGCAGAACTAGTAGTTCATAGAAAGAACTTAGACCAGTACTTCAGTTTAGTGTGCTTGGTAGCCGAGAACATCCATCTTAGAGAACAGAAAGCCCAACCAACTGGTCCTCAGAATTTTCTTCCTTCTCTAGATACTATTGAAGATATGAACAGGGAAAAAAAAGAAATGGTGAAATTTATGTATTTAATTTATTCTTATTAACAACCAGCAAGAAAATGTCCCTAAGCATTCTTCTCTTGGGGTTCAACCAAGGACCTTCCCAACACCCCATGGGTTCCTAGCCTTACATAATTTTAAAAAGCACTGTGCCTGTCAACTATCATAAACAAAACAAGCTTCTGCCACTTTGTTTTCCATATTTAGAAAGCTTTGGATAGTCAAGATACTTGAAATAGAATGAGAGGCTTTCTGATTTCTCAGGAAAAAGTTGGTTTCTAAAGAATTTTAAAACTTCAGCCTAATCTCCATTTGAGACCAGTTTAGGGTTCTTATCAGCAGAGTTGTCTTTTATCACTACCAGGGTCAGCCCTTTCTGCTTCTGACTTTCAGTAAACATCTCTTCAGTAATTCCTCTCTGATAAGGGCTTGGAAGCATTCCCAACAATTTAGCTAGGCCAGTAAATCTGCAAATTAGAATATGTAAGGGACTGCATAGGAATACCACACAAATTACATTTTAGTTTCAATATGTGATCCCCATAAGCATGTATGCATGCTTCATACATGTGCATGCATGCTGAAACACATATACACACACCCACATGAATGCTGGTACATAAATACAGATGGATGCATACCTATGAACATATACATATCTATACATTTATGCACCCATGAATACAGATGCAAGGTTAACTGGCTGAAAGTTGTAGAAGCTTGGCTGTCAGAAGAAACTGAAAGGGTCAAAAGACAGGGTTTTTCAGAGTGAGGATCTTATGAAGCAGTGTTAATTGTGGTTGTTTGAAGATGTGTGGTACCTACCAATATCCAAAGGGCAAGTTTTCTCCTATTTTTGTAATAACTGGAAATTTCCCTCATGTTCTTTAGCCTTAAATTCTCTTCCACTAAGGAATCTGATGTAACACTGTACATCAATCAATGAAACCCAGCTAAAAATAAGACAGACTGTAGACAACAGTACTTATTTTCCCATTGCATCTGTTCAAAGGCTTTTATTTATCAGCTCTAATTTTTCTTTATAAGGTCTGTCTGATTTCCTCTTCATGGCTTCCCTCCTAATGTGATTCTGATTGAAATCTAAGAGCAGGGGTGCAGATCTGCAGTAGACTATGTGCAATGTGTTTGTAAGGCCTCAGATTCTACCCAATGCCAAGGTCTCTTTAAAGGCTTAAATCGGTGGTTCTCAACCTTTCAAGTGCTTTGACCTTTAATACATTTCCTCACGCTATGGTAACACCCAACTGTAATATCATTTTATGCCTCCATCATAATGGTAATTTTGCTACTGTCATGAATCATAATGTAAATATCTGTGAAAGGGTCATCTGACTTGCAAAAGGCTTGTGACCCACATGTTGAGAATCCTTGGCTTAGATATTTTAGCATTATATGTTGTTTTAGAGGTTTAGAGGTTACTGTGTACCTGCAAACCATTATATCCTCTGTTGCTTTATGTTAGAATTTACTAACTGACCTTTGGCCTGCTGTCTGTCCTAAGACACAGACTTTTGATGTGATACAAGGCATATGTGGACTCAGAGCTGCTGAGGCTGTAGGAAATTTGCTTCAACAGCCAAAATTGAGGGCCACAAGGAGAGAGCCTGGAAAGATAATTCTGGAATAAAATAGAATTTTAAAAAATATGAGTCTTCTGTTAAGTAAACTACAATTGAGTTCTAGTAGGAGAATAATACTCTGAGATAAACTGTCCTGTTGGTACTGTTTTATTTTTGATGCATTATCAAATTGTTGGCAATAGCTCGTCTTCATTTGTAGTGCTATGAGAAGTACTTGCTGTGTTGTAACCCTGGAAAGGTGAAAGCATGATCTTTGAATGATGTTTTCTATAATCAAAATGTTCTGCTTCTATGGTAAAGATATAGCTTGGGGATGTTTAACTGAATACTCATTCTTCCAGTTGTTGAACTATAATAGTCCCAACAGCATCATATTTAATTAGTCTCTGTCTTCTGGCAGTGTAACCAAATTTGTGAGTGAAGACAAAGGGGAACAGAGAAGATGAAAATGTATCTTTAAATTGCATTTCAATGTTAAGATGTTTATTTCTATTTATTTCAAAATCAAGTGTGTTTATGTTTATGCACACAGGTATGTAATAGAATTATGATTCTTCAGAAGCTGGTAAGGGAGGAATTTTCAGTGTTACCAGTGTTCAAAGGAGAAAGGTGAAATTAGTGGCAAGAAGGAAGTGACGCAGAACATTTTGTTCTTGGCAGGACATCAGCAATGACAAGTAGACTGTCCCTGGCATGGCTGTAGAGAACTATGAAAGGGTAGGAGTAATTGCAGGTCTGATAAACAAGACTGACGTGTGGAATTCTGCAACTAGTATCTGGTTGAGCAAAGTGAAAGTTGATAGGAACCCATGCAGGAGCTGCTATTTCTGCTGCTTCTGTGAGATCCATCTTATGGGAGTTCTGTCCATTGCCGCCTCTTCATTGACAGGTCTATGAGTTTAAAACGGATCAATATTATATTGTCCTTTTTTTTCATTACTGTTACTATAATTACTTGGCAACCAGATAGACTTAGCTTTACAACCACAAGCAGCTATCAATTCAAGGTAACTCATAGCTTCTTAGGGAAGAAGATCATGTCCTGTTGTCTCACTTTATTCTGTTAAAAAAGATTCATTATGGTGATATACTTTTCTGTGCTAATAAGTATACCATTTTTTTTTTTTGTATCTGCTCCACTTGATCATGATGTATTGTCTGTCTGAAAACTGTGGTGTTTGATTTGATCATTTCACTAAGGATTTTACATATATATATTTAGGGGACTTACTTGTGTATAGTCCTGTTTTCCTGGGATGTTCTTTTCTGGTTTAGAATCATGCTAATGTGGTCTTTTTAAAGTTGAGACATATTCTTCCTCCTTGCTTTTTATAAAATCATCGTTATTTCTTTCTTAATTGTGTGGAACTTACTACAGAAGCCATGTGGAACTATAGTTTTACTTCTGGGTCAGTTTTCAATTACAATTTTAATGCTGTGAGTTATAAAGATGATTAAAGTTTTCTATTTCTTCCATGTTCAGTAAATGTGTTTCTCTTCTCAAGTAGTTTTTCCATTTCATGCAAATTATAAGACTTATTATCAAAAGTTGTCAAAATAATTAGAATGCCATAAGCACTGTAGTCATGATCTTTTCATTCCTGATATTCATAATTTATGTCTTATTTTCATTGTTTGCCCTCATCATAGATGCATACCTATGAGAGAATGGAATGAGGAGAGTGCCAGAATCAACTGTTAGACTGTAACATAACACTGACTTTGAGTGATATAGGGAAATGGGGAAAGTTGTGAGAAAAGTCCTGAATTTTTCTGTTCAGATCAAGGGATGTTTGAAGGATTTTAGAAGTCACCAGGTGTCTGTTACTTAATTTTCTATCAGGGGGTTCTTTGTGTCTCCCCTATATAACTAACCTTAGTGCTCAGGCATCAGCTGTTGGGTTCCTGACAGTTCAGCCACCAACAGCTGAACTCCCACAGATGGAGGCATGTCATGCTTGTTCCCATGGCTTCCATATGCTACAAACATCATACATTCTCCATTCCTGCCCTGTCTTCTCCTGCTTAAAAAAAAAATGGTCAATCTGTCTTATGACTGATTTTTGTAAATACCTTTGCAGTTACCATTCAATGGCTTATGATGTTATTTATGTCATGCAAAAATGCCTATAAATTCATTTCTAATTTTCAATGTGTAAGTGCAGATTACATTCTAAGCCTTACTTCACCAAAAGTTAATAACTAAAGCTCAAAAGAATTTATACAGTTCTCTGGTTAGAAGTCCTTCTAGTCATGTTCAATAAGAAAGAATGAAGAAATACTGTGATATGTCTTAACCATGGCCTTGCTAAAAGCAAACTGATGAAGGGTATTAAGAGAAAGTCATATGGAAATATCACATACGTCATTATTAAAAAGCAGATGGTCGAGGATGTATTGTGTTCCAGGGATGTCTTCAAGTTCAGGTGACATAGTATTAAGTTAGACTGATAGATGTGCCCTGGTTTTGCTTATTGGTTTCTGAGTTATATATACACTCAAGTGCATAAGTGAACATGTACACACACTACCATGGAGAACAGTGGTCTTCTGAATTCCCACATAACCTCCAAGATTATCCATTGTTGGGGAATATAAACATCTTCATAGAAAAGGCAAACATAAGGTTGATTATGATGAAATACAGAGTTATAGTTAATTTTTTCTTCCATGGAAATAGGAAATCCTGGTTTTCTTCTGGGGAGACCCACAGGACCGCATCCTTTCTCAAACCTTCTCTTCCAGGTGAAATAAACCTGGATCCAACCTTGACAGACTTGGACTTTTTCACTCATTTATTAACTTAGGCCTTATCCAGGCGTCCTTACTCTGCATGAAGAAAAACAAATATGTGAAAGACACATTTCATATTCATAATTATTTAATTACAGTGTGTCACCAGTGTCTAGTGCTTGTCAATACTTGAAAAAAATATGTGTGTGATACTCTCAGCACGTGTGGGGAAGAAGAATTACAAATACATAAGGTATACTTTGCTCAGCCTGGAAATCAAGTCTGTCTTTTGTAACCCAAATACCTCCAAGTTAGTTATACATTTATGTCTACTGAAAAAGTATTTATAAGAAATTTGTTTTCAATCTTTCAGGAAAGTCTTAACAGACATCGCTACTTGAACTCTTTCTCTCATGAAAACTCCACTGCCTGCTATGGACTAAATCAATTTTCTTATCTGTCTCCCGAAGAGTTTAAAGGTAAGGTCGGAAAGTACTATTGATTAATTTCCCAATTCTAACTTCTTTCTCTAGTTAAGGAATGATCCATTGAAAATCTTGTAAATTGTGTGATGATTAATACTTTTTAAATGCCAACTTTGAATTGTGTACCATGTGTTAAGCATGAGGAAAGTGAATTAAGGATGATTCTCTGCAACCATTGCTGAAGGACAAAATATGATTTCATGCACATCTGTACAGCACATCCATGCAGCTGCAAGCAAGTTGTCTCCTCATGTTGGCAGTTTTCTAGCACCAATTCTGTTAAGAATATTCATGGTTTTATGGGTAGTAATAAAATAAACAATGTCAATTATGCATATTTTTCATCCCTGGCCTAGTTCTGTCAAACATGTCATGTTACATCACCTCCGGTTCTACTATTGAAATTTACATTTACAGCTTTCAGGAAAATGCATTTAATGTTACAGAAAAAAAAGAGGAAAAATTCCAATTGACAGGTTAGCTAGCTAGCTACTCTGTTGATTTTTTTATGTTTTTTTCCCTTGACAATGTGCTCACAATAAAAATAATAAAGGCTCCAGAGAAGCCCTTCATGTAATGAGTTCTCCATTCTGCCCTCTTCTTTTTCTTCAGCTATGTATTTAGGCAGCAAACCAACCTGGTCTCCCAGATACCCAGCAGCAGGACAGACACCCATCCCCAATGTGTCTTTGCCATTGAGATTTGACTGGAGGGACAAGCATGTTGTGAATCAAGTGAGAAACCAGAGGATGGTAAGCTCTGCATCCATTCGTTCTTTGTTGTCTGAGCATTAGAAAGCAGCTCAAGTTCAAGTTCAGTCAAATTTGCCAAGGAATCCATGGGGTTTTTGTAGGTAAAAGTCGCGCCTCAGTTATCCAAAATAGAAGAGAAGGCTCTTGGAAGGATGAGAAATAGATATCCAATCCTGACTTTTTTTTTTTTTGCATTTTTAATTTTAATTATTTATTTTTTATTTTACATGTCCAGTTCCCTCTCCCTCCTTCCCTTCATCCCTCCACAAGGTCCTTTTGTGCACCAGAGATACATCCTGGTTCCACTCTCTGAGGTCCCTTAAACTGCTCAGTCCTTCTAGCTGAGACCCATATTCAGGGGGTGTCTGAGTCAGTCCCATACTGGATTCCCAGCTATCAGTCTGGTGGCCCGTTAGCTCCTCCTTGTTCAGGTCAGCTGTCTCTATGTGTTTCTGCAACCTGGTCTTGTCCTCTCCCTCTGCATCTGGATTCTAGTTCCACTCAGCGTTTAGTTATGGGTGTTTGTTTCTGTTTCCGACAGGTACTAGATGAGAGCTCCATGATGGTGGATAACTTAATTGTTGATCTCACTATCCGGGAAGGGCATTTATGGTAGCCTTTCCACTGTTGCTCAAATTGTTAGTTGGAGTCAGTCTTGTAGGTCTCCAGACCTTTATTTAGGTTCAGTTTTCTCTTCCAACCAATAATGGCTCCCTCTTTTATTCTCTCTCTCTCTCTCTCTCTCTCTCTCTCTCTCTCTCTCTCTCTCTCTCGTCTTCTATTCCTTCCCTGACTTCCTCTCCTCCCCTTCTCTTTCTCCTACTTCTCTCTCCATTCCCTGCCCTCCCCCCACTTCCCATGTGCTCTGGGGACTTGTAACTTCCCCCTTCTGTGAAGGACTTTATATGAATCTCTTAGAATACACCTTATATCCGAGTTCCTCTGGTGGTGTGAATTATAGGCTGGTGAATCTTTGCTCTGGGTCTAAAATCCATATATGAGCGAGTACATACCATGTTCCTCTTTTTGTGACTGGGTTACCTCATTCAGGATGGTTTATTCAAGTGACATCCCATTGCCTGAGAATTTCAAGATACCATTATTTTTTTTTTCTGCAGAGTAGTATTCCATTTTGTAGATGTGCCACATCTTCTTTATCCATTCTTCAGTTGAGGGGCATCTAGGTTGCTTCCAGGTTCTTGCTATTACAAATAATGCTGCTATGAACATAGTTGAGCACATGTCTTTGTTGCATGGATGCAGATCATTTGGCTATATGCCTAAGAGGGGGATTGCCGGGTCCTGTGGTAAACTAATTCCCATTTTCCTGAGGAACCGCCATACTGATCTGCTCACTCGTCCATGGTCATTGCCCTCAGCACACTGCCTCAGGAATACATCCGAGTAACCATACTAAGCAAACCAGGAATCCTGTGGACTAACAGGTGGAAAGTCAACACAATTACTAGCTGTGTTAAGTGATTCAAAAGTAAAGTGCAATAGTAAAGTGAAATGAGATTGCCCACACAGTGTCTGGATTTTTAACCTCTACTTCATCCAATGAGCTCCGTCAGAAAACCTGGTCTGCATGCCTACTCCCTATAAGGCCATAACCACCCAACCTTTATCCTTAGAAGTCCAGCCAGTATAGTTTCAAGGCTACATATACTTATTGCAGATCAGCTCTGTCCAAAGTCTGATAGTAAGCAGAAAATGGATATGGGAGAAATAGATCATGTCACAGTGTGTAAGAGCTACGTGAAGCATTTTACAAACAGATAGAAAAAAACTCATAAATAAGGTGATACTGTTTTTTGCTTGTTGAAGAATCAGTAAATATGTAAGTACAGAAATGTAAGATAAAGCAGTTCAGCATGAAAAAGATCTACAGTATGCTTTTTGATATGGATACTGAGAGGGAAATTTTTGGAGTATTGTGAAGTTATGGGTGCAGAGTTATCTTAAGGCACAAGGAAAATGGTAGCACTGTGTGGGATGGGTGTAACGTGTAATGTGTACTTGGCCGCCTAGTTTGTAGAAGTTTAGAGTATGTACTACTACTACTTACTACTACTACTTTTTCCCCACATTTCCTACTACTATGTATCCCATCATCAGCACAGGTAATTTAGCCCAAAAAAGAAAGTCAAGTCTACAGCCACAGGATGTCACTTACAGGGTGACATTAGAAAAATCAGTAGATCCTCTCCTCTCCCTATGGAAAGGAAGTGAAGTGCTTTGCACACTCCACTGTGCTGGTCTCTATCTGGTTAGAATGTTTTTTTTTTCCTAGTACTCAGGTTTGATGTTCACGGTTGTTTATTAAAATTTACTACCATGGCATTCATGGTGATGGTAAGAAGTGGGCGTGAGTCCAGTTCTTCCCAGAAGGAATTTACATACTCAACAGTGGTGGGATTTTTGTAGGAGCTGCCTCAGTGGTTTGACTCATGCTAGCAGTGGGTGTGGTGTTCCTGGTCATAATCACATTTGCAGATCAGTCCATCTTCAGTTGGTGACTATTTTCCTGTGCTGCAGGCACTGAGGTTAGAGGATTAAGACCACTTAAAACCACTGTGTTGCTTAGAGCATCAGTCACCCCATAAGGACAAGCAAGACTTCACTTTGCTGGTTCTGCAGTACACGCTCTTATGGTTAAGCCGGGTTTTAAATCTCTCTTCCCCTCCTCTTTCTCTCCTTCCTCCCTTTCCTATGGATTGTGCAAACTTTTATGTGGCTCTTATTCCATCCTTGGGTCTCCTTCTTTTCCTTAGAAGCAGTTCATTTACTCTTTTCTGAAATACAGTGATTCATAAACTGAAGTTACTCACTAATCATAAACCAACCAGTGTCTCTAAATGTTTTGTTGGTCTCTCTTAATTCATTAGTCTGGATAACTTACTTAGTAATAGTGTTATTACTGTTTTAGTTTAATGTTCAAAAGAGAATTTTAGTTTCATTTTGAAATTTTGAATGAATGGTTGTTATGTATGTAGACACTGAGTGTTAGTTTATACTACCCCTGTCTTTTTGGTAGTGCGGAGGATGCTGGGCCTTCAGCGTGGTGAGTGCAATAGAGACGGCTTGTGCCATCCAAGGGAAGCCTTTGAACTACCTCAGTGTACAGCAGGTCATCGATTGTTCCTTTAATAACTATGGCTGCAGCGGTGGCTCTCCTCTCAGTGCCTTGAGCTGGCTAAATGAGGTAACCATCTCAGCTTTCTGAGTCGTTGATTTCCTCTTGTGTTCTGGGTACACAGAATCCAATCACTTTCCTATATTTAGAAAGGTTCAGTGATCAAAAATCTCAAAGTTTAACTGACTTAATCAGGGGAAAGGTGCACAGCAGAGACTCAAACCAGGGCCAGCCAGGTTTGATCAGGCCTGTGCCTCACTGAGGTATGCCACAGACCCTGAAGATACTAGAAGTAATGGTTTCCAGACAAATTAGCCATTGATATATCAGTGAGTAAAGATACCTTAAATACATTTTCAGAAAGAAATTATTAAGATTTCTTCGTTTGTCTTAGTAGGTAATATTTATGTGGAAACCAGTCGCATAACTTCTCAGAAGGATTAGGACATAGATGTCCTGAGTGACTGTTAGGAGAGACACCACAGGCCAGCCAGAGTTATAACTCTTTATAGACAAGAAATAAGCACTGAAAATTGGAATCATGTCACCAGACAAAACTGGATGCTAAGCTCTTGACCTTCCACTTCAGGGCTTTATCCCACTCTAGTTTCTACATTTTTTTCTCCCTGACATTCTTGCATATCCAGCATCAGTGGAATAAAATAAGAAAATAAGGGGCCCTTGTAAAAGTCATCAAGTCAGTTTTGTCCAAACCCAAATGCCCTCTCGTTTACAGGCAACCACTACACACAATAGTGGCTGCTCTAGACACATTATAGAGAGCAATGATTGTGCTTCAGTTCTTTGAATAAGCCCAGCACATTTGCCTATACAGACAACTGTATGGCATCATGAGATGCCATAGCAAGAACATTTGGCCACGTCTGGTCTTAGAGCTTTGGTAGCTCAGTATTAGGTGCCTTGGGAGGAAAATACATTACCCTAGCATGTCCATAGGAGAAGACTGATGAAACATTGTTAACATACGTATGGTGGTTCTAGAATAAAAATGTATAAGGAAAAAAATCAAAAGAAGTTAAAGATCCATATGTTCTCAGATACATGGTACAAGCACCTAATGATTTCAGCTAGAACCTTAAGAGCAAACTATATCCATAGGCTGCTTGGGTGCAGCCTGACCTCTTTGCCTGCACTGAAGTAACCTCTACTTAACATTTAAAACAGCTGGGAGTGATCACTTTGTGACTGCTTCCTCCAGACACAGGTGAAGTTGGTGGAAGATTCAGAATACCCATTCAAGGCAGAAAATGGCCTGTGTCGATACTTTCCCCAATCACAATCTGGAGTTTCAATCAAAGATTTTTCTGCATATGACTTCAGGTAAATGACTTATTTTTTGTGTCTTTATTTTCTACACAATATGTACTGTTTTCAGAATTGATGACATGATTGAAGGCACCCTTGCCCTTATATACTTTTGGCTCAGCACTAACTTCCTGCTGAAGAGTTCAACTGATGGTCACAATGGGGTGCCATAGAAGCCTCCTAAAGAGAATCTGCATATTCTTTTATGTATCATCACACTAAAAATAAGAAATTTAAATGAATAACTTACAAATCAGTTTAAAGCTATAACATATGTCTACAACCATTCAGAAAATTCAGGTGCTAAGACATAGGAGCTTAATTTCAGTCTTAATATTTGAGTCTGTCCAAATTCACATTGCATTGCTCACATATTATATAACAAGAAGCCTTTTGGATCACTATATTCTGGCAATTCTAAGTAAGCAGCTATTGAAAACCCCAAGCCTATCACATAAAAGCTTGGAGCTAAGACTGTAGCACTGAAGATAAGTTATGTAGCATGCATGCTGCATGAATGAGATGGGGATGCAGGGCAAGTAAACTCTGCCAAAATGGAAGGAGTAGTGCTGGAAATTAAGAAATGGTGTAACTTTGGATGAGTTCAAGTATAAGTAATCATTAGAATCACATTAAAATAGGTGTAGAATAGGAATGTTATAAACAGAAGAAGCAGCCTACTCCTGGTTGCATTGATAAATGTGATTTGGGTTATTGTGACATTATTGAAATATAACACATAATAAAAGAACTCAGTTCAGACACAGGTATAGAATATCCTGTGATTTTTCTGATGATTGATGTGGATGGCATTTATCCATGGGAAATAGGCAATCAAAGTAAAATTAGATCCCTGAACAAAGTATAACCCTTTAAATCTAGGTATAAGTGCCCAGAGCACTAGAGACTGTCAACACAGCTCCTATTTGCAACAAAGCCTCTGGAAAATGACCCTAAAAACCAGAACCTTTCTTCCATAACTGGCTACACAGGGTTCTGACTACAAGGACATTGGCCACTGTCTCCTTTGGGAGTAAGGTAATAATACACTTCCTGAAATAACAAACCATGTCTTTATAAGTTGCCAGTTCCTGGGGAGTATACCTGAAAAGGTATTCACAAAGGGACCCAGACTTGCACAAGTAATTAAATTGCATCAAGGGAATAACTATTTGCTAGGTGGTTACATGGTAGTAAGTTGAAAATATGGAAGAGACAGAGAATCATATCACTCTGAATGAATTGGAGAACAAGTAGAATAGAGAAACAGAATACTCTAGTGCTAAGCAATGCCTACAGCCCAACAACTTCTGTATTTAAAAAAATTTCACAGAATCAGACCTCAGAAAGATCATGAATTGATTGATTCATTCACTCATTCAGATATCTACTGGCTAGTGTTTATTGTTGGGGATTGGGTAATGAGGAACATGGACAAACTCCCATCCTTGTGGACTGCTCTTCGATGATTGAGACAAACAAAACAAATAGGAGTATTTGATATGTTTGGTTATGGACTTTTAAATAAAACAGTGGAAAGAGAGAGCGCCTGGAACAGTGGTTCTCAACCTGTGGGTAAAGACCCTTTGGGGCTCAAATTATACTTTCACAGGTGTCATCATATATTCTGCATAGCAGATATCTATGATTCATAACTAATAATTTTAAGCATTGGTAGATGGGACAGATTGAATTAAATATGAGACTACAATTTTAATTTGCTCTGGGTTGAATTTTAAAAACAATAAATACTCTCACATTATGAAAACTTTCTAGATGACATGCAATGGTTGGAGAAAAGCATGCCAATGAATGTATCTGAAAATACTGACAGGAAAAAAATTATGATTTATACTCACCACAACCTAAGGAGCTATATTAAAGGGTCATAACATTAAGAAGGTTGAGAACCACTTCTTCAAGGAAAAGGAGAGTATATAGACCTAAAAAGAGCTGCCAGAAGGAGCCTCACTGAGGAGTGACTTTTGAGATAATGTACTCATGAAAACAGCATTATGAATATTGCTCCAAACAGAGGAAATGTATGCAGAAGTCCTGAGACAGAGGCCTGCTTAGCATGCTTACAGAGAAAGGAGGAGACAATGTGGTCCAGGGAGAAAAGAGTATGGTCAGCATATGAGCACTCTCCAGGGGACTAGAAGAGTGTGAAGGTGGGAGTCAGAGCCCATTCTTCTCATGGGGTCTTGGTACTATACACTTCTCTATGGGAAAATCTAGGCTTTTAGGACTGAACAACTTGACTGATTGAGGCAATAAAGTCTAAGTCAAGAAGAGCTGCAAGGAAATATCAGAGAAGTTGAGAGATATAGGCAGTGGCCACAAAAGTCTCTGACAGTGTGAGAGGAAGGAGACAGCAGGGAAAAAAATTTGGCTTCAGCCAGCATCATCTGTAACTTGAGGCCAATGGCTGAGGAACTTTGGGTCAGGTAAGATACACACGTCCAAGCCTCATCAAAACTGATTTTCATAACTTTATAAGAACCTTTATCTGAAAGTGTCACTGAGGTAGAGTGGCCATACTGCCATGATTCCTGGGTTTATTACAAGTTATTATAGAGTCTGGAAGCTAACAAAGAGCTAGAGACTCATTATTGGAAGTAGAGGTGTACACTAAATTGCTGAGTGCTGGAGATGGTGGGTCTTCCTTGGTATCTGCCTCAGCTATTATGGGCCAGATCTCTAGTGTGTCTGCTTCCATCAGATGTGTGTCTGAGACTCCAGGTCTTGTGGTTATGGACTATAAGGCTAGGATGAAGATCATGACTATTTGACTGTAAGCCCATTCATCTCCCTCTATAGTTCTAAGATCACAAACTCTAATATTCAGTTCTCAAAACATGTCATTCAGTACCCAATGATCTACCCAAACCTCCACAAGACAAGGTATAGAAATTAAAAAGAATCACTGGGGGGGATTAAATATAAACATCACCTAGGTTTAAAACAAAACACCATTATGCTAGGCATCTTCCATGGACTTTTTCCCTCAGAGCCAGGCCTTGTATGACTCAAAGTGGCATGTGAGAATAGCTATGCAGATAAGAAAAGGGAAGGAAGTGTCTATGCACTGCAGTGGATCCAGACAGAGGACATGACAAACTATCTCATCAAGCTCTCAGGAAGAGGAGATAATATCCACAAAATCGCCACATGTTAGAGAGAGTATTTGCCTTAAACAATAAACCTTGATGACAATAAAATTTAGGAGATTTCTTTGAAGGCTATAGATTTTATAAATTGTTAATTTGTGGACTAAAACCTAAGCTCATGAAATCTGGTCTGAATACTTAATGGTTCTCAGCAATGCGATTCATATGGGATTGACTGGGTTGGGGTGGGGTGGGGGACAGATGCTGTTGACCACAGAGTTTAACTTGGAGAAAGCTACACCTATGAAAAACGAATGATGACAATGTCGCTTGATCAGATATCTGAGATCAAATGGAGCAGTTATCTGCTGGCCATGAAGGTGGTCTAGCCTATATGTAATTTGCTAGTACCTTCTCTATCTTTTCCTCATCCTGCTCAGGCACAGATTGTTACTAAATTATTTCAATGGCTGAATAATTGGTACTGTAGAATGGTTATATGCTGAGGCTTCTCTGCCTAAATCCTTACCCTGTCTCCTGGTGTCTCCTGGTGTCTTGACACTATATTATTGATAAGAGGGATTTACTATGTAATTTTTGTTGTCTTAAGTAGATGGAGACAGTCATATTAGGGCAAATATAGAGAATATATTTGAATTACAAAATATTCAAAGAATTTCAAAACAAAAGGAATGTATTATGTACTACAACCTAGGCCAAGGTGAACTAAGTCTTGAGTAAGATAGAATGCAAAGGAAAATTATAAACTGCATGAGATTTATTATATTTGAGTACATATGAGTTATTATGTATTCATGCTAGACATGCTACAGAACATAAAGCCTATCAAATCCTATAACGTATGGTTGTATAGAATATGGTAGATGGTATAATAAAATATGCATCTGGGTTTTAACCCAGAATCGGAGGAATCCAAGGCCTATCTTTGGCCATGATGCCTTTTTATGCCTTACACCAATATCTAATAATTACTGTTCACCAAACATTAGAGCAGAAATTGAAAGTGTACAAGCCAAATCTCAGGTTAATATTTTGGATGACCCCCTTGTGTAAAATGAGGGCACGGTTTCTATTGCAGTCAATTCCACTGTTAAGCTTTCAGAGTGACTTCCATCTGTGGAGTAAGTGTTCTCTGGCTGGAAATTGGCTATAGCAGCTGCAGTAAGGAGGCTTTTACTCTGAAAGGTGCTAATCCTTAATAGTTTGCTGTAGCAATAAGCTACCACATGCTATCTTTACGGCCAGAACAATCAAGTACCATGGTTTCAGTATCCTTCACCCACAAGCTGGCCTTTAAAAAATGTAAATAGTGTTTGGGCACACACATTTAGGATAATGTTGTATAACATTAGATTTTGCTGTAGACAAAAGTAAATGTAACAACAGTTTGCTTTGCGGTCTTGGTAGCGCAGCACCTAGTTCTCCTGGCATCTTGTTATTTCTTCTGATTTTTGTGACATCTCTTCCAGTGTTTTTCCGAGTCAACCTTCTTTGTATTTCCTGTATTTAACTTTCACTAACAAAAAAGTGGACATGGTTGTTTGCCAGATATTCATCTCTTGGAGGTGATGATGTATTTACAAATACCAAAACCTTTACATGTTAGTTGATAAAAGGAACTCTGTGCTCTATCAGGATGCTTACCAGATTTTAAAAAAAAAAAAAACAAAACAACAAAAAAAAAAAAACTCATTTTGTAGCTTCTTATAAGCCAGAGTCATTCCCATGACAGTTCTGGCCAGTGAGATCCATGCACACAGAAGTGTTACTTCCTGGAAATCTCAACAGAGACATGGAAATTCTCCTTCCTGTTTTGTGTTCCTTGAAATACTTGTTAAATGGCTGGAGGGCCAGAAACCTTGGACCAGGAGAAGACCATAGAAGTGAATCCTTGCTTAGTATGGGATATGGAAAGAAACTGAGATCCTAACACCCTCAAGTTCCATAGAGCCCTGGACCGTCAACCTCTCTTGTCTTTTAATGTGTATGCGTACATCCTTTGTGATTGCTACCACATATACCCCCAATTTAAGACAAATTTAAAAGATCGTTTCTTTGCTTTTACCTTAAAAGTTAAATGCATACCTTCCTTCCACAGTGGCCAAGAAGATGAAATGGCAAAAGCACTTCTGAACTTCGGCCCTTTGGTGGTGATAGTTGATGCAGTCAGCTGGCAAGATTATCTAGGGGGTGTAATTCAGCATCACTGCTCCAGTGGGGAGGCTAACCATGCAGTGCTCATCACAGGATTTGATAAAACAGGTAAGTCTGGGTGCATCAAATCCCTTCCCAGATGGAGCTCTGAACCAGGGCTGAGATGCTCTGTCTGCTCTGCCTCAGAAGCCTCTTGCCCATAGCCTTCAGGGAACTGTGTTGGCAGATCCACCAGGGTTTGATAATCTCCATCCAGCACCCCCCAACCCTATATGAGTGGGGGGTTGTGCTTTGCTGAACATTCAATCCTGTGACTTGCATATACAAGGCCAGCACTTTGGCACTGAACCAGACCCCAAACTGTAAATGATAAATTTAAATTCACATGAAGGGAATACTTTTGGGGTAACTGATGCTGGGAAAGAAATATCTGATAGTTTATCATATGTGTGTGTGTGTGTGTGTGTGTGTGTGTGTGTGTAACATATCATCTTCTAATTCCCTGGGAATGAGTTTATCTTATCATATCTAACTCTGTATTAAATAAAATGAACTCAGACAGATTCTACTGTGTAGAATGAGACAATAAGCACAATTCAAATTTGCTAAGCTATGTAGACAAAATAATTTAAAGAAAGTAAATGTAAATTCTTGTTTTACATTTATATTTTTCTCATAGTACAACTCTATTTTAAATACAGACATGCACATGCTCCTAATCAATATAAGTTTATCGGGGTGTCTTAGCATTTTACTTTTGTAGGAAATACTCCATATTGGATTGTGCGAAACTCCTGGGGAACCTCCTGGGGAATAGAAGGCTATGCGCATGTGAAAATGGGAGGTAATGTTTGTGGTAAGTCATGAACTTGTGTTGAAACTTCTAGGATAATATGAAGGGCTTTTTGAATATACCATCATGACAAACCTGAAATCTTTCAGTGGGTTCAGCGCTCTTTTGTAATATTAAATTTTTGCTTACCCTGTTAATAAAAAATAAAGTTTTTCATAATGCACTCTTAAACCAATATTCATTTCAAAGTAAAAGTTGGGTATATGTATTAAAACAAAACTATAATTTAACAAAGACAACTACTTCAAAAAGCATATTATACACCCCATTTAGGAGACTGAAGTTCTCTAGAACCATGCTCTACTTCAAATTTATTTTTTATAATGTATAAATTCCCCTATTGCTTAAGACAGTCAAGAAAGGCTAAGGATGTGTGTCATGCACAGGATGCTCAAGGCCGTGAGCGTGATCTCTGACATTGCAAAGGCAAGAGTAACATGAAAGGAAAAAGCAATTAGGAATTATTTTTTCTTTGTGTGAAAGTATGAAAAATCTGAGTGACCATAACACTTGTTTTTACTTACTTTGCAACCTGTCACCTGCAAAATGATTAAAAAAAAAAAAATGCCTACAGAAACTGCAAAACTTACCAGTACACAGATGTCATTATATTGTATTGTATGACAAGCCTAACAAAAACAAATTGGGAAGAACTGGCTCAATATTCTATGCTGATGCTGAAATCTATATTCAGGATTGTAGTGTGAGATTCAGTCTGGAAAATCATCACATTTTCTAAATCTACTTAGAATTAAGCTAAGTTGCATATAGAAACACTTCTTTTCTCATTATAATGAGTTCTAACATTGTGACACACAAATCTTCTCAAAGTGCAGGCCCTTCAAGGTTGTAACAAAAGTAGAGTGTAGCAAAATTTAAGTGTAGGTGCTTCCTTTAATCTAGTGATTGCCATGTACTTATTCCACAGCATAGAATCTATGAAAATCGTTAACTATCCTGTCCTATTAGACAGTGAAATGGTTTCCACATTGGAAACAGCCAATGTCACAGAGTACAGCCAGCCACCTAGGCCCCCGTTGCTCAGTGGATATCATGGCTGCTTTTGTGTCACTGGAACTTAAAAAAGAAATACTGCTGAGGATGCCCTCTTCTGCTGACTCTCACAGTCTCTTAATGTGGCTAGTATGTGCACAAAATTAACTGTGTTCAAAGCTCTGACCATGACTTGGGCTTGGGGAGCCCAATGGAGACACTGCAAATGGTGGTTGATAATTGCCTGCATTTCACATTGGCTTTTCGAGCCACCCAGGTATTTTCTTTCCTCTACCTGCTTTCACAGTCTGAGCCTTCAGAGACCTTCCTGGTTACTGGGTCCAAATCCTTCCTGAGCATATACCCAGTGTTGTCCACATTATTCCAATAAACAGTGGCAAAAGGCAGTGATTATTCCATGATACAAGGAAATTTCCTGATTATGGGTCATTAAAATTAAACCCAGTTTTCAAATGGGCAGTAAGAAAGCCTAAGACATTTAGGATTCATTAATATGTAGTAAACTTCAAATCTATGAGTTTAACTATTTAGGTTTTTTGTTGTTGTTGTTGTTTTGTTTGTTTGTTTTTTGGTTTTTCGAGACAAGATTTCTCTGTGTTGCTTTGGAGCCTATCCTGGAACTCACTCTGTAGACCAGGCTGGTCTCGAACTCACAGAGATCTGCCTGCCTCTGCTCTCCCTCCCAAATCCTGGGTTTAAGAGTATACACCACCAACACCTAGCTAAGGTTTTTATATATTTTAAAATAAATTCTTTATGCTATTTTTTCTTTTAGGAAATATATGTCAGGGTGACACAGATTGTATATACATCCATTTATTCAGCTAGCAAGTAGATTGGGGTTTGTTTTTTGTTTGTTTGTTTGTTTGTTTGTTTTCTTTTTTTGAAACAAAAATTTTAAGTATCTTTTCTAGTGTTTGCCTTTAAGCGTACCTTGCTTTTACTGGCAGCTGAATATAACCATTAAATTATTTTGTTAATGGATACTAACTCATTCTAAACATAAATGAAAATTAAATTTTGTAAAGCAAACCATATAAAGAAAATTGGTTGCTATTAATATCTTTTTTTCTGTTTTACTTTTTGCCTTAGGCATTGCAGACTCTGTTTCTGTTGTCTTTGTGTGATCATGCAATATTTTGGAGTCATCATGAGACACCATAAAAATGAAGCTCTTCATAGTAAAATCTAATATAATACTTAATTCTAAGCAGTATTCACTGTCAAGTTTCAACAACTGCCTGCAAGAGTTTCTAAGTGCAAGCTAGCATTTTTGTAATCAATGGTAGGTCATCCCATTCTTGCAGAAAGATGGACAACGAAGTTCATAGGAATCACCTCCTCCCTCACCACCTCCATCACATGGGCATGCAAGGAAATTTGGAACAGTGTGGAATTCTGAGAACTTGTTGGGGTCAGAAGTCGCATCAAGCCTTCCATATCTAGAAGCAACTGGGATTTTTGCTTTCTTTTTTGTCTTTCTGGCTGTTTATTGTAATGGAGTACTTTGCTCAGGTTGGATCAAAGAAATGATCAGAATTTGTTTTCCTTTGTGACTTATAGTCACAAGCCATAGATGACCTCATCTACTAGAACTCTCAGCCTAAGGTGGTATGTATCTTACAATCACAGCAGCCTTATGAGAGGGAATGCCATCCTTATGGATTTGAAATATCAGTTGTTTTACTTCAGCAAATGGACCTTACCCTAAACAGTTTAACAACTATGCATAAAGAAGAAATGTGAAACTCCCTTCTTCAGAGAGACAACCCAACTGAATTTAATTGAAGCACATGGCATCTATGTGATAGGAAGTAACCTATGGCACTTCCAGTGAGGAAAGCTTCACTGCCAAGGATCCAGTACATTTAGCTTCTTGCTTTCTTCTCTCAGTAGAAGAGAACGAAGTATTTTCCACATATTTCTACCTCCCTTTTTCTTACTGTAAAATTCCCATATGTTCCTTGTGGTCACCTTCCAGTTCAAAAGAACTCAGACCCATTGTTGGCATTCCATTTCTATTCCCGATTTCTTATTTAAAAAAATTCTTTGACATCTGCTAGCCCCACTCACTCTAATGAAGGACTAATGTGCCCTTCATTAGAATACTAGAATCAAAAACAAAGCTCCATATTCTTCTTCCTGTCCCAGGAAGAAGCAATCTCAAAAGAATTTCCAGAGACTGGAGTATGAAAAAATAGCAGAAGACAGGTCTTAATATTTTGAATAGAGTACTCTAATTATTCAAGGATTCCAGAAAGGAATTAAGTTCAGCTATAGTTTTGGTTACTGACTTTCAATATATTATCAGTGGTTTTCTGATACCCAATTTCAAATGCAAAAGAAGTTTTAAATCCTCATGATTGTTACCTCTCAAGTATTCTGTATTTTGATAACATTTATAATAAAAATCAATATTTGACTTTGAATTAAAAAGACCTTGTTTATAAATGTGTGGTTTATAATTTACCATTATTTGTGAGTACTAATAGTTATTAAAATTGATATTTATATGTTTTACATTCACTGTCATCTTCCTTTTTATGTCCATGAAATAGTAATTCCAGGAACCCTGCAGGTACCAAAGTCCATATTTGCACAAGTGTTATACGCACATTGTCTTTTGTTTGGATATAATCTAGACATGCCTTCCTCTATACTCTTATTATTCCTAGGTTAGCTGTAATACAAAGAAAAATGTGTGCTATTATTATGTAGAGAATACTGACAGAAAGTCTGTACAAGTACTGTATTTCTTCTTTCTCAGTTTAAAAATTGGAAAGTAGATAAATCCATAATGCAGAACCTAGGACACAGATGGTCCTAATTTACATGCATACTAAGTAGCTAAGCATGATCTTTATGTTATTTAATTGAGACTGATTTAGAGTGTGCTTTCAAGAACTTCCTACTTCTGAGAAATAACTTGTTAATTCTAATCTTGAAGCCTTAGAAAACTTAGCACAATATTTTGCAGTCGTTTCCATATCAGCAACTTAATGAAATGCTGTTAGCAGCCAAGCCAGGCTAGAAAAAGGATGACAAAGACTCAAGTCTAATATAAATCCTGTGCATCATGTTATTGTTAGGAATGCATGTTTGCTGTTTAGTCAGTTGGCCTATTTAGTGGGTTGGAAAGATCTTTCCTCCCTAGAAAACTGTCACTTAATTCTATAGCAGTTGTGTGTGTTAGCACTGACCACACCCCAGTGCAGCCATTGTGACAGGGAAAGATCAATTTTGTCGCTCTCAGGGCCCATAGCGTAAGGAAGAAAGTTGTCTATGACAGCTAATACTGACACAAAATAGAGACGAACACTTCTGGAGTAGCACATTCCAGGAGCTGGGTTCCTGTGCTGTATTTCTTAAGTGCCCTTGAGTTCTGGGCTGGTGAAATAATAATCCTATAATATCCCTCAGATCAAGCTTCAGAAATGTTTCTGCTCCTGCTCAAGAATCCCAACAAAGCCATATTTTACAAGCAATGCACAGCCAAAACCTAAATATATTATTTGAAGTTTTATTTGAATAAATTTTAGATGGAATGATAGTATTTATTGCACATATAATATAAACTAAGTGCTCAATAAGCTTTATAAAGCATGACACAGTGAGGTAATAATTATATAAAGTGGCTCTATGAGGTAAGTATCAGGGTAAATTGATTTTTAACAGGAATACATTTTATATATTATGATGCTAATATTTTATTGAATTATTTCTCATCATAGTACTTAATTTTACATCATCACAATACACAAAATTATAAAATTGTTTCTGAGATTGCACCAGAACACCACATCACTGAGCTACATGTATAAATACATTACTCAAAACATGCATTCATAAAAACTTATAAATTAAAAGACAGACTAAGAACACTGTAGGGTTCCCAAATGTTCAGAAGAACTTAATCCGATTCATCACTGCTGAAGTAAGAGCTGTCACAGTACTCAGCTGTGTAAAGGAATTTGTGAATGATTGGATTCATCTTTGGTATCCAGTGTCGGGGAACCAGGTATGTTGAGAGGTTAAATAAATCCACAAACACTTTGTACCTGTCACTGGAAACATGCATGCAATCTACATGTTAGATTGTTGATATGAAAAAATGTTCTAATTCATAATTTTTCTAAAATATTTCCCATACACAATTAATATTCAATCTTCTATGTCATATATAGCATATATAAGTTGGCTTGTAGGTAGCATTGGTACTAACATTATGTAACTTTTAATCACATCTCAGATTAATATTTATAAATAGCTGAGTGTTTGCCTCAGACCAGAGTGATCCAAATTAAACCTAGATTGAATGTGAAATTTTTTTCATGTAATTAAGCTTGTACCCTTAGTTCTTATTTGTTGAAAGAGTTAATTTAAAAACAATGTTTATGTGCATGTCTGTATGTGGGTAAATGCATGTGAGTGCAGGCACTGGGGAGGCCAGAGGTGTCATCTCCTGGACCTAAAATTACATGCAGCTGTAAGCTAACTTACTTGAGTGTTAGGAATTAAATTCTAGAAGAGCAGTAAATATTTTTAACTACTGAAACATAGTTCTAGGCCCTCATTTTTTTTATTGTAAAAGGTGTTGCATAAAGTAATATGCAAAGTATTTCCTAATTGCAAAGTAGCTGTCATATGACTTCTATGAAGACTTAATCAATTTAAATATCATCTTGGCTTCATTACAAATATTTAAAGAGTGGTTTTCATATGAAAGTTGCTTTTCTGTTTCTTAGTCAGCTACTTTAAATGATAGTTTTAAAATAGCAAAATCCGGTAAAGTTTTATAAAGGAATAAAAATTGCCTTTGAAGTTAACTAAATCTGGTTTGGAATTCTGCTTTAGTCACTTATAACATATGGTACCATGGATATGAAGCTGAAAAGTCTAATTCTATGAAATAAAATCTATAATACTCCCTCTTGCCAGGACTTTGTGAGAATTAAAAGATATGAAATATTAGAAACATTGTCCAGGTTAATCATGTCCATGTAAATATGCAAATGTAAATAAATATCTGTTTTTCCATGGTCTTAGGTGACCCCTGTGAAAGGGTCCTTGGACCTCCAAAGAGTTGTGACCCATGTATTAAGAACAACTGCTCTGCACAATTGTCAGTTTGGCAGCCATTGATCCCAGAACACCTTTTTGTCACAGGATGGAATGATGAGTTCTGTAGCTGAGAATTTTATACAATCACCTCGAGTTTTCATAGGAATATTGGTATTTAACTAAATGTTTTGTTATCATTTCAGACAGAGGGAAGTGTAACTTTTCCTGCACAGACCTGTAAATACCAAGATTTGCTAACTTCCACAGGGTTGGGAGGTCCCATCTTACCTCACAGTTGAGCGTAGGTACTGATAGCCCGAGGATCCCCCAGTGCCAGTCTTGGTGCCCAGCATCCTGTGCACCATGCACACATGATTATCTAGGCAAACATACAAATTTACTGCATGAATATCTTTCTGCCATTAGCTCCACAGTGTTCTAAAACCAAAGGGTTGGTAATGATTATTGCTTCAGCAGAAGCTGACACCTTATCACTTAGCCAGATGGAAAGGTCAAATATGAACACCAGAGAAGAGCATCGGTTTACCTAGCAACCCTGTGGCTTAGGCTACATGCCTTCTACTTCATTCTTCATTGCTTTTAGACTGTGAGCACAGTAACAGGGAGACAGGGCCACATAAGAGCTTTCATGAGTCCTTTACAATTTTTTTTCCCTGTGGGATCCTTCTTCCAGGAAAAATAATTTTAAAAAATTGAAATTATGCACCAGAGGTCATCATGTAAAGTTACAAGGAGGGATGGAGAACCTGGGGCATGAGGCAGCCCTAAGGAGTAATTAAGGAAAAGAAAATACTCTATGCTTTCTCATATTCTGGCCTGGTCTTAAAAACACATACATGAATTTGCAAAGGTGCCCATGTGCAGGGTAGAAGGCACCAGACAGGAAGGGGGTGCAAAGATGAGGTTGGTGGCAGTGACAATGTAAGGTAAAATGATGTGTGAGTACGTAAATATAATGAAACCCATTAATTCAAACCAAACCTAAAAATTAACTAAACATTTATGAAATAAAATACAGCAAATCATTTTATTTTTTAAAGGCATTGGCATTCAGATAAAGACATTTTTATATTAACAATGACACAAATTTTACTTTTCCTTTGGATTGTAGAAGGAAATAAAACATGTTCTCGATCCCTGAAATGTGGTAAAGATACAAGGGGAGGGCAAGGGGACCTGGTGAAGAAGTACTTACATCTCCATTTGGTCATGAGTGTGTCTATATCCATAAGCGAGGTCAGCAACTGGAAAGGGACCTGGAATCGAGGCTCCTCCCTACAAAAAAACAACAGTAGGAAGTCCTACTGAATGAGAAAACCCAATGCTGTGTGTTAGCCCTATTCAGTTGAGTCTTTAGGAGCTGTACTACCTTTGGATTCTCCTCTCAGTCTTTGTTTTCTTACCTCAAAATGGGGAGGGGGGACACTATTCAATGCTCAGTATTTGTGTGAAGTCTAGAAAGTTCCATGTAATATGTATAAGGAAACCAGCCAGAGACTCCTGCCTAATACTATCTTACTGGAAAAGAAATATATACAGTATCTTAAATAGAATGCTAACAAAAAAAACATGCTTTTCAACAGATACCAAAACAAAACAGATAATTTCTATGGCCCCTACTATGCTTGAATTTCTTTTATCTGAGCCATCAACATTCTTGATACACATTTTACTTAGAACATCCATTTATTTCAAAATGAGAAAGCAAAGCTAAAATATCTTGTTTCTTCTGATTCTGAAGAAAGAGATCTGAGAATATGTGCAAAATTAAAACTTTCAACTAAAATAAATTCAATAAACAGTCCCTTGAAGGTTGTTTGGCATTGCAGTCCTCACTGGGCTGAACCCATATTCATGGGCCCTTAGGAGAAGGTGAACAAAACACCCAGGGGACCCTGAAAACATTTTAGAGAGTAAAGAAATTTTATATGAAACCATTGGCCAAGAAGACAACTGGTTATGAGACGTTCTCAACTGACACTTTTCTTTTAGTTTTTAATTGCATTTTCTTTAATGTAGGCGTGTGCCAAATTATGTGCACTCCATGGCTGGAGCATCTTTGGAAGCCAGGAGATAATTGGAGGGAGTCAGTTTTCTCCTTTACCATGAAGGTCCTAGGAATCAAGCTCAGATTTTCAAGCTTAGTGGCAAATACCTTTACCCACTCACCCTTCTCACTGCCCTCAACTTTTTATTTGATAAAACAGACAAATCTCTGAAACTATTTTTAATGAAACAGTTATTTCATAATTGGACTTCTAAGAAAAGATTAGCTTTGGCCTTTTGGGGGCACTTAATGACTGAAACCCTATGCTTTCTGTCATTAGAAGACAACATGTATTAGGTTGTGTGCACATGCGCATAAACAACCAACTGCATGAATAGTCAGACTTCTCATTTACAACAAATATTTTCTGTGTGTTCTCCAAAAAATGAATTACTGTATTAAATTTTGATTGCACTTTATAAACCATATCCATGGCCATATCTACTCTTCAGTTTCCTTTCTATTTTCTTTTTTTAAATTTTCTTTTTACCTGTAGAAATATATCATCAGTGCTCCCTGGAGTGCACGGTATGACAGTCTTCGTTCACCTGTAAGACATGCAGCAAGTTTTCAGCGTTAAAATCTCTTTTTTGCACAAGGCCTTAGCATGCCCTAGGCTAGGACTTTTTACCACTGAGCTAGAGTTCACAACAAGGCTCATCTACTTAGGTAATTTAAGACAATCGTGTTAATTTGAATTACCATCTTAAATAGTTAAACGCTCTGGGTCTTTTCAGAGAAAATAAACTGTTGTTTAGTTTAAGGTTTTTTTCCTTAGCTTGTACTTAGTAATCTATGATTCTAAAAGTAAATTAATACATTATATATATATATATATAGATTTAATATTATACATATATATGTATTATTGTACAGTCTCAAATGTGTTCAGTGATATATTAAGACAGCCTGATTTAATGAGTAGGTCACTCCCATGATACAGGTATTTTCCAGTTGAAACAATACAGTTCTTCACTATTCAAAAACTAAACAATATTTACTTTATTTCCCATTTGAAATTGTTTTGTTGTTTGTTTGTTTGGTTGTTTTGGTTATGGTGGTTCACATTTGTAATCCTAGTACTCAACAGCTGAGATAGGATCATGGATTTGAAGCCAGCCTGAGCTACATAATAATATCCTATCTGAAACCAAACAAAAAGTAATTTTTTCTAATTCACATAAAATTAGTTTCCTTGGTTGTAGAGGAAATGCTTCACCCCTCTTTATAAGAACAAAGGATTAGCCATGTTCTATTGAGGGTTTATAGATAATGGAGCCTAGCAACTGTTTCATGCTACCCTCATTCCACTGCTACAGTCTGTACTGTACAAAAAAAATAATAATAATTACATCTGTATTTCTTGTTTCTAAAATCTTTTTTGTGGTACTTTACAATAAAACTTTCCCTTGGTACCCTTACCCACAGCACTTAGTATAAAAATGTTGGCTAGTGTCTTGTAACTATAGCAACCTAAAAGCTTGTTAATGAAGAGCTGTCAGACAGAGTATTTATTCACGCCTTTCTTCTATAAGTAGGAAAACAATTTTTATCCATTTCCCCCAAGTTAGGCTTCATAGTCAGGTGTATAACACTCTATTATTTGTTCTCATGCATATACCCTTGAGGTATAAGACCCTTAGAACAATACATCTACCTTTACTTAGGAGATGTTCATGGTGCTTTTCATCAAACAAGCATAGTAACACCTCCTTCTGCTTCCGGTACTCAGCCATCTGTTCCTCTTTCTCTTCAGACTCTTCCTTAGCCTTAAAGGAAAACATTGCTTTAATATTCCCAAGAAGAGAACAGATTGGTGTTTTAAAATGTTTCCCTTAGGAGAAGTAGATCTTCAGCTTGTAGCAAGGGTGTACCTTAAGTATTTATCATTACACCAAACACTACAATGTGAAAGATAAGGTCTTACAAGAAGGAATCTTCCATATACGTGCTGTTCTCTCATTTTGCTTCTGTTTAAATAATTTAATAATATCAAATATTCTTCACAAAAGTCTTAAAAATAGTACTTCTTAATCAGAAATCTATTAATTCTATTTAAATTCTGTATTGACTATTGTAGTCTATAAATGCAGTTTCTTAAATATGGCTTACATTGCTTTTATGTAGCTGCTATCTTTTGACTAGTTATCCGCACACCCTACAGTTCTACTTGCAATTGGTGATTTGGACTGCAACAGACCAGTTGGCCCAATCCGTCAGAGCAAGCACCTGGTGATGAAAGCCTGCATTCAGTGTTATTGCCGTGATTATTCATTTATAAATAAACGCTCATGGGAAAGTGGTCGGCATGAATTGTGAGCAAAAATTGAATCTCCTCACCTCAAAGACATATCTTGTGATGGAATTAATCACCCAAGCACAGCATTGTGATCAAGGACAGCACTATACAGGAACAGGAGCATCACCATAGGGAGTAACAGCAGTAAGAAGGTTGGCAAAGATGGAAAGCTGTGCTGTGACAAACATTTTAAACTAAGAGGATTCAGAACACTGAGCTCAGCTCATGGGAGGAACCCAGTAGAGTTCAACCATGTAACATGAAAAGTCTTAGGGTTGATGTCATGGTCTTAGACAACAGGGAGAAGTCACCAGGTTTGCATTTTAAAAAGGAAACTAAGACCAAAGCATGGAGAATAAACTGAAATGTTCCTACAATGGGGATGGGATGGGGCAGTGAAGAGACTTTTTTTAGTGGCAGTCCGTACTTGAGACATGGTGGTAGGTGAAAGAAAAAAATCTGTGAAAGCTATCAAAAGTTAAAGTTGGTAGTCTTCAAAGACCCCTAAAAACATTGTGGAGGAGCCTGGAGAGATGGCTCGGTGTTTAAAAGCACTTGTTCTTGTAAAAGACCCATGGTTCACTGTTATAGAAATGCTTTAAAACAAGAATATATCATGATAGTCCTTTGAGGTAGATATCCTTACTTTCTATTTTGCCTATAAGGAAAGTTATACAGAAGCTACAGAGTTTATTTATTGTCACAGAGGTCCATGGTGAAGATGAAAGTTGAGCCCATATTACATGATTTTTGTGCTTTCAAAATCCCTTCTCAAAGTGGCAAAGTTGAATGACTAGAGATGCTGAGTCATGAAGACAGGGTGAAAGAATATTCGAAACAATCTCATGAAATAAGATAGAGAATAAATTGATATTGCCTGTGGCCAATAGAAAGGATCTAGCAGAAACAACAAATATTACAGGGTTAAATACATTTGCCTAATTTTTCTCTTCTATGCCAGTTGTGCTTTGAATTTGTCACAATATATAATTTTCAACAAAGATAAAAATTATATCAATACTAGCTGTTTGCTACAGATAAAAATCTTCATTTATTATAACATAGGTCTTAATTTGACTTCACATTTATCTATGAAGAAAGTTAAGTCAGCCATGTAATATATAATCCAAGAAGATGCATTTATAAAAGCCAGATTATAAATAAAATTATGACTATAGCAGACAATTTATGGTTGAATTTCTAACCCTTTTCACAACAAGTTTATGGCATGAATTCATAATTACCTGAATCCTTAGGAATTCCTCTTCCAGTCCTTTCAGTATATTTTCTTCAAACTTCCCCCAGAAGTTAAATCCATGTGGCTCTAAACCAGGTGTCCTTTCCAGCCATGCCTTAAGTAAATAATTATTTATGTGAGTACCTGGTAAACATAAACATTTAACATATTCATAATTTTGAGGAACTTGTAAGATTTTGTGCAATGACCACTAAGGCCAGAAGAGAACACTAATTTCCTAGAGTTGTTCACAAGGTTGGGAGCTACCCTGTGCAGGGTGCTGGGAACCAAGCTGCCATCCTTTGGAAGAGCAGTAACTGTTTTTAACCACTAAGCCATCTCTCCAGCCCCTGCTACAATCATTCAGAGACTGCAAATGACCTCCTAGCCTGGAAATTGATCTGACTTTATAAATACTTATTGTTTCTTACTCATGCTGCATTTAGTTTTGAAGTTGACTTTTTATTCACTTTACTTTGTTACTAAGTTTTCCATTAATAAGTAGGCAATAGTGATCTAATTACCTATACTAACACCACTCTGAAAATTAAGGGCAGAATATAATTCACAAGAGAAAAAAATAACTAACTTTCAAAAGGAAAAGCTTAGCGACAAAAATCAAGACAAATTTTCTATTATGCTACCACAAAAAATTCAAATTAATCATCCACAAACACTTTTCATAAATTCCCAAAAAATTTGAATAAGAAGGAGATTTTTATGAGAATATTCTTAGCAATTTAATTAGTAAAAATTCTCTGTATAATTTTCAATTGAGTTACATTTCAGAGAAACAAAGTTGATTAAATAATCAAATAATCAAGGCAAAAAATCAGGTAATTGCATATTTGACAGGGTAATTTAATGAGATAAAGTTTTTAGACACTGACATACAATTATATAAATCTTGTTTAATTTCCCAATAAAAGTCTTAATATCTTAAATATTTTAGTAAGATTAATTACAAGTTTAGTATGGTTGCTTTCCTGTCTTTGTTTATCATGAAAGTAACTCTGTTTTGATAAGAGTGTTTGAACTCTGATGCAGCAGAACCTAAGTAAGCAAGAGATTGGAGCTGTACTCAGGAGACAGTGCAGCTGCTCCTACCTCCACCAGTTGCAGCAGGGTCTGCTCCTGCTCAGATCTCAGCAGCAGGTCACTGTCCTCATCTCTGAAGTTATTGCGATAGTGTCTCCTGTTGTAAGGGACTCTCAGGCTCTGAAGAACACCTATCTTATTTTCTAGCAGTCTGAACTGTAAACTCTGGAAGCCTGATGCTGGAGATAGGTACTCTCTGAGAATAAACAAGAGAAGGGGGGAAAAAGAGATTGTATAACCATGTATGGTTTCTTCCAAAGAGAGGGTTTGTCAGAGTATCTATCAGAAGCAGAGAGCTGCCTGGAATTCTATCTAAGGAGCCCCTCACATTAAAAAAAAAAAAAAAAAAAAGGCACTTAAGCATCATTGTCACTGTGGACTACTTTAAAGCTGGATAGTTCCATAGTTATAAAATGTCACATCTCTTAATATGTGTAATATGTATTTTATCATGATTAATTTATAGACATAGTAGATTATATAATTTTTCCATAAGAATATATTGAAAAAATATACACATAAATAATGTGCATCTATGTCATACATTTCTAAGAGAAAAGACAGGTGGACATTAAGAAAGTGGACAGTGGCAAAAGATTGTATACAAATATTATTTAATCCCTCCTACCAGGGCTAATCATGGATATTGTCATCCATCTTCCTACCCAGATGAGTATAAATGAGATAAAGCAAATATAAGCAATGAGATGCTGCCTGACACAGGCTAAGATGTGATTAAACCATCAAGAGCCTTACATCTTCTAACTCCATAGGTGATGCTGAGCTTTTAGTTTCTTAAATTCTACCAGAAATAATTGGACTTCTGTTTCTCCCAGCCCTGCTCTGTCTTTCACTGTCACTTTCTTTGCTTTGAAACTTGTTTGGAGTGTTGTGTACTGCACTATATGATGGACCTAGCTTAACTTTCTTGAGAAAATTTCTTCTCTAATTTTAGAAAACAAAAACTTGCATGTGTGCTTTTTAAAGATGTCAATTCATATTCCAATGGAGATATAAATACACACACATATATAGATGGTCATGTGTGTTTGAAGGGTTAGAGCTAAAACTGACAGTATATAATGAATACTGACATTTTGGTTGATATATTTATTTACATACCACTGCTATTTCTTACATTTTCATATTGTGAGCTATTTAAGCCATTTCATGTTTAGTAGCCTTTATTGAGAAAAACCATGATGATAAACTGAAATTAGTTGATCATCACTTTTGTATCTAAAAATGAGACATGGAATGTTTTTAACCACTTCTAAAGTATGCTGTGATGAAAGCCATCTGTATCCTTCCAGTGCTAATGAAACATGTTTCTCCTTTCATTCCACACACATTCTTCTTTTACAGAGCCAGTATGAGAGAATGAACCCCATAATTTTCTAAATTGGGAAGTGGACACCTGAAGTCATTGAAATCCAAGGCAGTCATTGTTTCCAGCACAGAGAACTGCTGCACCAGGAGCTTGAAGATGACCACCACACGATGCATCCGAGTCATCACCTTCAGCATATTCCTCTCATCCCTGACCTGATGTGCAAGGAAGAAACCGTGAGTAGTCAATCAGATTGTGAGAAGGTACTGAAAAGATCATGAATGGCAACATATTTCTATCAGCTGTCTGTATATTAACAGAAATAGCGGGAACTAAAAGTTACCATAAGCGTTTGTGAGGGTAATACCATGCTGGGTGGCATGCAAGAGATTTCTACAAATTGGAATTTCTTTCTACTCTTAAAGCAGATGCATGCTAGAAGCTATCCAGAAGAACCACTCCCTCTTATTTCAAAGCATGTTTTTGCTTTTTTGTTTCAGAGAAGAAAGTTCAAAGCACCAGAGAGACTTCTAGGAAAGGATTGGATAAATGGTAACCCTGTTAATCTATTCTTAATTGAAAGATCACATCGCTACTAACAAGCCATGGTGTTGTATTCACATGAAAGGGTGGAGTGAGACAGAGACAGAGAGATAGAGAAACACAGGGGCAGGGGGGGGAGAGGGGGAGGATAAACTGAAGCTTATAGAGTAGAAGCTCAGAGCTGGAACCTATGGTAGTGTCTTGAGCCTCAGGGATGGAAGGAAATGGGAGATGGGTGAGTACAGTTGCTCTTCTAGGCACTGAGTGCTGTTCTGTCTTCTCTCATCTGTTGTCCTCCTACCCTTCCCCCTTCTTTTCTTCCTCTTCTGACTCTTTCCTTTTCATTTCTCTCATTTAGCCTACCTTGCCTTCCCTACACCTATCTCACCATAGGCAAAATTCAGTAGAAATAGAATTTTGTTACCTGTTCCAGAATCATTACAAATCAGACTTGTAAGTTGTAGCAACTTCTTAAGGAGAGCAGTGTGTCATGTAAAAGGGCTTTAAGACTTGAAATACAATAAAACTTCCCAGAGAAACTCTCCAAAAACTCTTCAGTCATTTCAATATTTTGTCAAATATTGACAAATCTTCATGTCATGCTTTCTATACACTTATACAAGGTATACAAAATAAGTTTAATAACATTGAAACTTACATGGCCATTTTGAAAAATCTCACGAACAGAGTCTAGTTCCCATAGGATTTGTTTAAACCAGAGTTCATACGCTGAAATTTTAAGAAGTCAGTTAGAAAGTTACAGGTACCTCTTTGACTATCATTATATGACCATTACAGATACTTATAAGACATTGGGGAATGTAACTTTAAAAGGAGTAAATGTAATCATAGATCCATTTTTATAAGTTTTAATCATCTCTATTTTTCAAATTTCTAATGTACCGGATACTTTACTTTATTCTATATTTTCATTACTATCACAGTGGCTTCTCCTAACAGACCTATTTGTTTAAGTCTTTTAGGATAGCACACATAACCTATTCTCATTGCATGGGAGGACACCTGGTCCTCAGCTTCACCCCTCCACTTAAAGATTAGCAATCATAAGTTTAGATGAAGGACTGTAAGGTCTTACATTTGTAAGACAGGTTTTATTGTTGTTTGATTGGGAGTTGGGGGGGTGGATATTAGTTGCTTGCACAATTCCTGGGATTTGTAGGCTCAAGACGGATGAGAAAACAAGACAGAGGACTGATCAAACAGTAATAGTTAACCTTCATTCAAATCACACTATGAACTGAGAGAACCCCTGTCTTCCAAGTGAGTCAGCACATCCTTTCTGAGATTTCCCACTTCAGTTCCAGGCCACTTCTTTAAGCCTAAACTTTGCCAGAGCATTTCTGCTGAGGAATGTAAGTGGGAATTGTCTGTGAGAGCTTGCTTTCCCCTTCCACAGGAGTAACCAAATAATACCACTAACAAAAGGTCCTACCGCCTACCCAATAGAAGATGTACAGTTAGGACCAAAACATTTGGTTACTAAAAATGTCATTTGGGATAAAGAACTGAATCTTCCTTAAATTCAGTCAATTACCCTATTTGTTCAGTGATCAAACATTATCTTCCTTTAAGTGGGACCTTGTGCTGCAGGCTTCTAATTTATAATTTATAATAAGAACATGTCAGACATGGGAAGATGGGTTTGACGCATGTTACCAGACTATTAATGGCAAGCAAAATGGTTCTTTCCCATTAGCTTGTCATTCACATAGTGTATAAACCACACAAAAGAAGGATTTTCATCATAGTCACACATAGCATTGTGTGTTTACTTAATGAATACATGAGCTAAGTCATCAGTGTAATAATTAGATGAGCATGGAAGGTTAACAGTCTGGTGTCTCTAATCTATCCCATGTGCTATCATTATATGAATAAAGGCTGTGTTGTGATAATTAGGAAAGTGCATTATTTTCAGTTATGCTTAGGAGATCAAATTTTTATATTTAGATAATGAGGAAATCAAATGTTTCCTGATCATTTTGAATGCCTCTTTCCAGGTTTAACTTTGTGTGGGTAGTCCTGTGAGCCACTGCCAGCATGCTGTAACAAAACTGTGGAAGACATCAAGTCACATTGACACCTTCTTTTACAAGCTTACTATGTGTTATACTCTAAGTGTTTATTAGAATATTGTTTCATTCTTCATCATGGAAAGAAGTAGGAACACAGAAAAATTGTCTTCATTCAATGAACAGGTCTGAAATCTAAGTGATCTGACTAAGATTATGTCATTCATAACAGTAGAGATAGGATTCAAAATTATCTTTGAATTCTATTTATGGTGACTGGCCAGGATTCCTCTCTTATTGATTTTAATTTAGTGTGAACCACCAATAAAAATTTAAGGAAAAAAATAAACAAATACAAAATAGACAAAATACAATGAGCTGACATATTTATCTCATTAAGTTCTTCATTAAAAAGGTATTCTGATGTTTGCTACCCAGGGAAGTAAGAACTCATTTGAACCAATGACAAGAACTCATGGAAAGGGAAAAATATTCAAGTGTGTAGAATAGAGTAGAGCTCCAGGACAGACACAACATAACAAGAAATGACAACCAGACATCAAGCATTCTTAATATTTGGGGGTAGTGGGTCTATAAACATACATGTTTGTAAAAATGTTCATGTAATCTCAGCACACAAGGCCCCTCTGGAGATGCAGATTGCTAGCCTGAATAGCACTATCTAGAAATCAGAGCTCTGAAAAATATTACCAAGTACAAAATTATGTGTTTTTGCTTAATACTGAATTTTTATACAATTATATGTATTTGTAGAAACAAACAATGAATGGATTTGGGGAGCAGTGGGGAGATATGGTGAGGGAATGGAAGGAAAGGAGGAACGGAAAACAAATTGGGATGCAAAATAAATGAAAAAATTAATTAATAAAATTTAAAAAACATAAATGCAAAAAGACTTTGAAGTATTTGTAATAAATTAAAAGGACTTATTTCTGGAAAGTGCTGCCTTTTATGTATTCATGAAAACAAGAAAAGAATAGCCTATTAGCTTACAAGTCCTTTATAAAATTTCATGAGCCAAAAAGTCTCTCCCAATTTCAGAACAAAGCAGGAGTCCCATATACTCTGTGGTCTATACCCATATACCCATATGCTCAAAGAGGTTCCTATCCACCATCATGGAGCCCTCATCTAGTACGTGTTGGAAACAGAAGCAAACACCCATAACTAAACACTGAGTCAAACTAGAATCCAGATGCAGAGGGAGAAGACAAGACCAGGTGGCAGAAACACATAGAGACAGTTGACCTGAACAAGGAGGAGCTAATGGCCCCTAGACTGATAGCTGGGAATCCAGCATGGGACTGACTCAGACCCCCTGAATATGGGTCTCAGCTAGAAGGACTGAGCAGTCTAAGGGACCTCAGACAGTGGAACCAGAATGCATTCCTGGTGCATAAAAAGACCTGGAGGACACATCCCCCAGGGAAGGATACTGCCTTAACCTAGAGACAGTAGAGAAGTCCTAGTCCCTACTTCAAATGACTTGACAGATTTACATGACGCCACCTGGATGGCATTGCCCTACATGTGGAATTGGGGTGAGGGGATTGGAGGGGAGGGTGATCAGGGTGCATGTGAGAGGGGAGAGAACATAAGAAGAAGGGGTGGAGGGAGGGAGAGGGGACTGGGATCAAAATATAAAATAAAAAAAAAATTAAAAAAAAGTTTTTATATGACTGAAATTTTTCAAGTGTATCTAACAAATATGATTCCTCAGTCTTTTACTATCCTACAGATAAAGTGGCTATGCCTCATTGGTGATGAATCATTACCAAAGTAGCTAATTGCTTCCCAGCCCTTAGGTCTTACCTTGATGGGTTATAATAAACAGGTGTTCATCATGAATTTTATTTCCTTTTATCTCACTTTGAAGTTCTTGTGCATTCAAAACTTTTTCCAACTTTAAATAAGAAAATGAGAAGATAGATTTTGAGATTTCAGATCTGGATTTCAAACCTACACATTACTAAGGAGCAGTTTGCAATCCTGTCTAGAAATGCCACAGCCCTGAAGTGAGTGTGGTAGGATTTGACCCGTTGCTTGGCCAGCTGCACATCTGCAATCCTTTCCTCTCCTTCCTCCAAAAAGTTCCTGGAAAGTTTTACATTTTTAAATCAATTGTTTTTACAAAGCCATTTAAAAATGAATCAAGATCTTTTTCATTTTAAATTTTTAACCTGAATATTTGCCATAATGACCTCCAAATTCCTCACTGAAAGCTCTCTGTGTACCTTCAACATTTCTGTTTTGTATTGAGGAATTTGAAGACTCTTTCAGCAGTCTGGGATTCTGACCAGATCTTTTTATACGTGCTGAGTAATGCCCGTCTGTCTTCTGCATCATAGTTTTTCTTTCACAATCTTCTGTCTAGATATAGAACTTTCAGCCCTTGCCTTACCTCTTCTAGGGAGGTACATTTCACATCTTAACTTGCTATAGCAAATTTGAAAGGATATATCTATGTAACGAATAATTGACTCCCAAGGTTCAGAAAACTGTTGATGACTAAAAAAAAAGACAAGCAAGGGAAAGGCCATGGACCCAAAGTTAGCAGCTGACAAGAGCAGTTAACTCCAGTAAAAACTTGCCACCTACCTGCAAGTAGTTCCCATAGATAAGTCCACCTTTGCTGGCTCTGTTTACACCAATTTGAGCATTGTCTTCTTCGCTGTCATTTACAGATAATTTCTTCAAAGAATATCTGCAGTTTGAGCAAATTACATTAAAGAAGAGTTTGAAGAAACACAGTTACCATAATAGAAGCCATTATAATTCTGTCACTATTTCTGTTTGGTTTATAAGTGAAGAAAATAGAAATAATTGAGGTAACTTTTAAGCCCAGAAATGTAACTGCTTACAGGCCAAAGTTCTGGGGCCCCCTCTATTTGTAAAGAGATAAACACTCACCCCACAGTGTTTCCTAAAAATGGGCACCCACTCATGGTACTGAGGTGTCTCTGGAACACACGGGTTTGCTAGGCCAGCGACAGCATCTACCTTCCCAGATATTTTAGTGCTGCCTTTTATGTATTCTGATTACCAGACTCAGCCAATCATCATTCAGCTTACGCTCTTAGCCAGGCTCTCATTTGAAGTGGTTCATAGCTGAACCTCTCTCTGTAACTGGAGGGTGCATTTGTGTTGGGCACAGCTTGTTTGCTAGAAGAGTGAGCCAAATCCAACCCTTTGACTAGCCAAGTTGTGCTTTTATATCCAACATAGAAGGCTACAAATAAATCAATAGAGACCAAGTCAATATATATTTGCATTTAACTACTTAATTCCAGAAAAGCTTTTCTAATAATGTAACTTCCCTAAAGATACTGAGAGTATAAGCAAATTTAATCTGTTCAAGTAGGATTGTTTTACATTTTCTGAGGAACAAGAACTGAAATGTCCCTGGAGAAAGAAACAGAACAGGCCAGTGCTGCTAAGAGCCACAGCCAGTCCACGTCAGAGCTCATCGGACTTAGCTCTTCTCTCATAATCAACAGCAAGCACATTGTACTGAACTCACCTGAGGTGTGCCAGCCACAAGATTAACAGTTCACACTCAGTTGGGGCATGCCAGTCACAGGAAGGATAGATCCATCCACACTGGTGCCTGATGCAAAAAGAGCAATTACCAAGTGCCCAGGGTTCTGAAAGGTAACATCAATGTTCTTTCTACAAATCTCAGGTATTGGTGTCATAAACAATGGCTTTGACTTCTGTTGAGCCAAGACAGAAGCTTCATCACCCTGCCCTTAGTTGATTTGTGCTACTAGGAACTTGTCATGAACATCATTGCCCATTTATCCCACTTAACAAGAGATACATCATCATAAAACTTCTTAGACTAATCAGAACCCAGAAACAGTTTCTAGGCTAAGCTATAACCATAGCTGGGTAATAATATGAAGGAACTGATTTAAATTTTATAGCAGTTTCCTCTAGAAAAAAAGCTCTTAAGTTATAATTTAGAAGACTCTGAAGTACATTTAATTCTTTATTATGATTTAGTATATTTGAATATTTAATTGATAACTATTATTGTATAATTACATGTTATGATACTGGAGAACTTAGAAATCACCAAATTCTGCTGTGCCAGTCTTATAAGCTTTGTGTTCTGACAATGGCCTGATCTTTACTTATACATGAGATAGAGACCTTGAAGAGGGAGGGGCTGACTGCTCCCTTCATGATGTCCTAGTCTGGAGGTTCTGAGTCAGAGAATACTCAATTAATACCACTTATTGACTTGCTTTTTCAACTAGGTAGGTACTTACAAGGATGAATGATAAATGATGTATTTCACCCTCTTTAAGGCCTTGCACTGCAAAATGCTCTTGGCTTATGGGTCATCATTCCAGCACAAAAGGTAAGAAAAGTGATTCTACTCTTTAAATTATAGAAAGTAGATAGTTTAAGAATGAAATAGTTTTATTTTCTTAACATTGCATTATGCATTGTTCTTCCAGGAAGTATCAATTTAGTTTATGTTCCCAAGTCTAGAGAAATCACCCAAAGATTTGGGTAAATGGATGGAAAGTAATTTGCTTCTTCCTCAGAAAATGGGTAAAGAGATGGAGAGTAATTTGCTTCCTCCACTCAGGGTGGAGAGCTATTGCTACAACCCCTACATACACTCATTCTTAATAATGTTTGCCATAGCAACCATATCAAATTTATGAGTAGCTATAGTCTGAACAATAATGAATTGTTTTTCTACATGGATACATTCTCTAGTTGATGCCTGTTTCAGGCTAGGAACATTTTTTCTTCATTGTCCTTTTTTCTCAATATGGGAGGAAGAATGCGGTGCCTTGTGTAAGCTAGGCAAATTTTCAGTTTCCGAGCCGCTTGCCCAGCCTTCTTCATTATTGTATTTTAAACTTACAATTAACAATATGTATCATTCCAAATACATTTTATAATCTCTCTGTCTCTCCCTGCTTCCTCCATCCCTCCCTTCCTATCTTCTCCCTTCAATTGCTTTTCAGTACTAGGGATGGAAGCAAGGGCCTGAAGCATGCCAGACAAGTTCTCTGCCCTGAGATTTACCCCAGCTCCTACAGTAGAAATTTTCCACAGCTCTTGAGAAAGTATACTCTAAATCAAAGTGGCAGATCTAGTGGTGAAATTTAGGGATTTTGACAGATTCAAGAAATATATGGGTGGAGGCAATGATCTCTGGGTAATCTTTGCAACTCTTATTCAAAATGCATGTAACTATATATGCATGGATTACTGAGGAAATTTGCTAGAGGGAAAACTGAAGTGCATACTTTGAATATTCAGGTTTTAGCTAATTATCGGCCTGAATGGTTCCCCAAAACCATCTGCTGGAATCCTGGGGACAAAACATTCTTCCATCCTGGTATATAGTAACAGAATGTCAAGAATGTGAAACATTGAGCATTTTTTTTCTTTTTATTGAAAATAAACTTTTTCTCTCACATAATATACCTTAGTTATGGTTTCCCTTCCCTTTACTCCTCCAAATTACTTCCTACCTCTCCTCCCAGCTGGATCCACTCCCTTCTATCTCTTATTCAAAAACAGCCAGGCTTCTAAGTAATAATATGATAAGATAAAATAAAAACTAACATATTGGAATTGGACAGCACAAACAGAAGGAAAAAGAGGTCAAGATAAGGCATGAAAAACAGAGACCCACTTGTCCACTTGTTCCCACACTCAGAAATCCATAAAAACACTAAACTGGAAGCCATAATATATACACAGAGGACCTGGTACAGACCCATGCAGGCCCTGTGAATGCTGCTTCAGTCTCTGAGTTCATATGAGCTTTGGGAAAAAAAAAAAAAAAAAACAGTGGGAATCTTTAGGGCAAATCATTTATCTCTAGATCTTCTTTTGACATTTCAAGAGAACAGACATGATCCTGTGAGAGCAGAACCAGGAAAAGTATTTCTACGAAACTGTGGTGTTGGGCTACATTTAGACACTAAATACAAATGATGTAAACCACTAGTTGTATTACTTTAACAAACATCCATTTACTCTATTATATACTTCATTATCTACATTTACTGCCTCAACATCCAAGCTTGTATGAATACTGTGCATAAATTCTCCAGGGTCCTTAATTTTAAGAAGCTAATTCTGAAGGATGTTGAAATTTCTGTTCAAATATTTCATAAGGAACCCTTGACTGCTCAGATTCTTCATATGGTTTGGTAATTTACTGAATGATTGATAGGTTGGTTGATTAATTTGACTTATTGACTGACTGCAGCCTACAGAGTGGGAAAAGACCTTCACCAACACCACATCTAACAGAAGGCTGATTTCCAAAATAAAGAACTCAAGAACCAAATATCAACAAACCAAATAATCCATTTAAAAAAATGGTGTACAGATCTAAACAAAATTCTCAACAGAAGGATCTCAAATAACTGAGAAACACTTAGGAAGATATTCAACATCCTTAGTCATCAGGGAAATGCAAATCAAAACAACTCTGAGATTCCATCTTACACTGATAATAATGGCATGTGTGTGTGTGTGTGTGTGTGTGTGTGTGTGTGTGTGTGAGAGAGAGAGAGAGAGAGAGAGAGAGAGAGAGAGAGAGAGAGAGAGAGAGAGTTCATGCTGCAGAGGATGTAGTGCAAGGGAAACACCCTCCCATTGCTGATGGGAATTCAAACTTGTACAGTCACTTTGGGTGTCAGACCTGACACCAAACATTAGACAGAGTTTGGTGAATCCTGCAGAAGAGAGGGAGAAAGGACTGAACGAGCCAGAGTGGTCAAGGACACAACAAAATACTCATAGAATCAACTAACCTGGGCTCATAACGGCTTGTAAAGATTGAGCAGACAACCTGAAAGTTTGTGTGGGATATACATAGGCACTTAGTATATCTGTTTCAGTTGTGTATCTTAGTCCTCTTTAGGGACTCCTAACAGTGGGATTAAGAGCTGTCTGTAATGAGATATCACCCCACCCACACCTGTTGTACTGACCACGCCCATGTGGGCATGACCAGTGGAGTCTAGGTCTGGATCCTGACCTGGATGTGCTTACTTACTTACTTCCAGGTCAGAGACCGCGGAGGATCCGAGGAGATCCTTGGAGCGGAACCGGAAGGGGTCCTTGGAAGGGGTCTTCTGTTTCTTGTGTAAGTGAATTCTCTCAGAATAAACCTCAATCAGCCAGTGTTGTGTCCTAGAATCTTATTACCCACATTGACTGTCTGACATTACTACTGTGATTTATTCTTTTATAGATACTGTGTTATCTTGTGTAAGAAAAATTCAAACTTATTTGTTTCCCTAAAGTCTTTCAACTTGCTGTGACCTCTCTTCTCAAAATCAAACTACTGGGTTTTCAGGAGTAGTTTCCCTTCTAAGGAAACATTGTGAAGTGCATGATATTTTTCTCATTCTCACTGTGTTTTAAAATATTCATTTACTTACTTATTTATGTATGCATGCATGTGTAAGTCAAAGGACATTTCACAGAAGTTAGTTTCTTCCTTCTACCGTGTGGATTCCAGGGAGAGATTCAGATGGCTATCCTTGATAACAGGTGTATTTACTCACTGAGCCATCCCCATGGCCATCTGTGTGGACTTTTAACAAGTATTCAGATAGTTAATACAAAGAACAACCAAACCGGGTAAATAATCAGTAGCAATTCTGAGTGTTCATTGAATACAATGCAAACACCAGATTTCATTCTGAGATAGGAAAACACTGGATGCAGTAGCAAAGCAAACATCTGCAGATGAATTCCTGAGCAGAGACCCACTGAGATGACAGGAGTTCCACTTCATTGTGGACAGACAACACTGGAAAAATACAACAAAATAGAAAATTATTTTATCAAGGCTGTTGAGGGCTGTCTTTGTTGGGCTGCAGTAGGAACCAGCAGAGTAGGTTCCTACCTGAGAGGGGGAGTGTGGATGAGAGAAAGGCTAGCTGAAGGAGTTAAGAATCCAAGACAAGACACAGGATAGCTGTCAGGAGGACCATTCACCCCATACCTAATGTGTCCTTAGTTTATTCTTTCATGTTCTTATGTATTCAACCAACAGTGAGGACAAAATGACAGAAATTTTAAATTATCATGTCTAAGGTGCAAAGAGATTTACTTCCCTTAATTCTCCAGGTATTTGCTAGCCAGACCTGCCGTTCAGCCTTCAGGGAAGAGAGTGAACTTCCTCACTTGGCCTGAGCCTATTGTTATTCAGGTAAGAGATATGCACTGCCAAGACCAAAACATCCTGTAGCCACCAAACTAATGTCTTATGGATTAAAAGACAGACTTGAGCTTTCTGAACTTGTGGCAAGATGTAATGGACTCCTTTTCATGGGTCCTGGCACAAGGCTTGAGATTTAAGGAAATTTTTAAGATGCCTTTCTCATAACATGTTAAGCAATTGATTGTTCCTTAGGGCAGTGAAAGAGACTACACCCAGCAATCTCAAGTTCCTTCTTCCTCTAACATCAGAGACTACAGTGAAAGTTGTTAACCCACTTTCACTCTTGCCTCTTGGGAAAAAGTTACAACACTCTTTCACCAATCCGTAGTTATTATTGTATAGTTGTGTTTGTTATTTTGTTGTTGCTGATGTAATAGAGTACTTGAATACAAAAACTCCCAAGCAGCCTGACTAAGTCTAATGGAGTCTTTATTAACTGATGGCAGGACTGTCCCAAGCAGACTAGCTGGAAATATCCTAGACCTCCAATTGATTTGGGTTTTTAAGCCCCCCCCCCAAAAAAAAAATTGCAGTTGTGACATATACAGAAAGGCAGCAAGAAAGCACTGAGTAAAGAAGTTAAAGAAAGAGCAGCTAAACTGTCAGGCTGTTAACTTTTAGCTCACAGTCACATTGAATAGGAATTTAGTGCGGATCCAAAAATCAACTTTACCCAAGATAGTTTATCACTTAAAATATTCTTAGGAATACTTTTATGAGCAAGCATAACTATAGTTCAATAGCCCACTACAGTATGATGACTAAAGGCAACTTAAGGAAGAAAGTTTAATTTGGCTTACACTTCCAGAGAGCTGGATGCCGGTATGGTGGGGAAGGCACGGGGAAAAAAGAGTGGTAATGAGGTGGGGTGGGCATACACATTGGAAGAGGGAGAAGCGGCTATCGTTTAAATCCTTCCTCTGTCCTCCATCAAGGCTCCACATCCTAAAAGTTCTGTGACCTCTCCAAACTATGCTACCAACTAGGACCAGGGATTCTAATTCACGAGTCTGTGAAAGATAGTTCTCATTCAAACCACCACGGTAGTCATGATTTTTTTTTTTTTTTTTTTTTTTTTTTTTTTACTTTGCCAATTTATTTGACCATTTCAGTTCCGAAAAACATACATTGATAAGTGAAATGTTATGTTCTGAGGAGAACATGTGACATTCAGTGTTTCTAGCTCAGAACTTCCCAAATTGTATTCTATATACTAGTTACTTGACGGATTTTATTTTTTTTTTTTTTTGGATCTTTTCATTGGGAGTCATTTAAATCTGAGCCTCTCCATCTGTGTGGTCTACCATATGTATGTATGTATGTGTTTTTCCTAAGCCCTGTGGGTCACAGAAGTTCCCTTTAGAACAGATAATGTATAGGCAAAGAAAGAATAACTGTATTTTTAATGAGCTACCAGCATGCATCAGTTTTCTTTAATGAGCTTTCTCATCCTAGCACTATTGTGAAACACAAGAGAATTATTGGAATGAAGAGATCTTCAAATATTAGATAAATGCATTTATATGGTATTCTTAAATAATTGAGCATTCTCTTCTCTATGAGTGAGCGATCAAATTAAACCATTTTCATTAAAGATTTCATACTAAAGAGTTTAGATTGGCAGGTACAAGCAACTGTTGCCTGTTGTGGAAGAGAAAATAAACCCTTTCCTTCCCAAGTTGCATTTGGTGATCGTGTTTTACCACAGCTACCCTAACATTTCACCATGAAACTCCTCGAAAACTATGTCTCTTTCCAAATATGTTGGTATGTACTTTTAATTCTACAACTGGGGAAGCAGGGTGAGGAGAGTTCTACAAGTTCAGGCAAGCCATGGCAACATCATGAGACTCTATGTTAAAAATCAAGAGCAAAACCAAAGCAAGCAGACAAACACACCACTTTGCTCTAACAATCTCACCAACTTTCACCTCTTATCCCCTTGATCAAATAAGTTCTGAAAGTGTGGATAAATCATAAACAAGTATGCTATTATCTCTAGCTTGTAAAACTTATACTGATCACATTTTCAATACCAGGGCCACCTTATTGCTTTATTTAGAAGCAACATTCCTCCAGAAAAGCAGTTCATGTATACTACATCAAGGTTCTTGTGGTTTGAATGAGAAGGGCCTCCATACACTCAGATATTTGAATTCTTGATCTCTAGTGGTAGAAGATTTGGAGAAGGATTCGGAGGTGTGGCCTTGTTTGAGGGGATGGGACTTTGAGGTTTTAAAGTTCACACAATTTCCACTTAGTACTCTCTGCCTTCTTCTTATGGATAAGGATGTAAGCTCTCAACTATGGCCCCAGCACCATCCCTTCCTGTCTGCTGCCATGCTTTGCCATGATGGATACATACTCTAGCCCTCTGCAACTGTGAGTCACTAAGTGAAGGTTTATTTTTATAAGGTGCCTCAATTATGGTGTTTTGCCACAACCATCAAAAAGTATCCAAGATACAGTTGGGCTATTAGTGTGATAAACTTTACCAATCTGGTTTTTGGAGAAATGTGGAAAACTTTGGTACTTCAGACTAGAAAGCAGTTGAATACTTTAAGTGGGCTTAGTGGCCCACCCTTGTAGGAGGCTGGTAGGCAGTGGTACTGAGAAGAATGTATTCTACAGAAGCCCAGCTCAAGAGTTTTGGAGGGGAACAATATTAACAACTAAGCTAAATTCTATTCCTCTGATATTTTGACAAAGAAAGTAACTACTTTCTGCCTTTGTTCTAAAAATCTGTCTAAGGTCAAATTAAAAAGCTTTGGACTAATTTCATTGGGAGAGGAGATTTTTAAAGATAGCCTGATATTGACTCTATTTCATGGTTATTAGTAATCACTCTTAAGTCAGTCTACAAAGAAAAGGAGAATGTTTGGGGCAGTGGGGTATTCAGGGCAGGACTACACTCAGCCAAGCTTCTGACTTACAGGAAGTAAAGGCCTGGGGAATTTTTATACTCCTAAAAACAACAACAACAAAGATTATGTAAATATAATTCAAGAAAGGGGTCAAACTCCATGCTAGGATGGCCAGCTAAATATTTCAGAGTCATGTGCAACATTAGTCATGAGGGATATACAAGTAAAGGGGTTATGTGTCTAAGGAGAGCCACTGAAACCAGGCATGTGACAGGCTGCCCCTAAGAGGGTGTTACTTGAAGCTGTGAAAGTAAGCCTGTGGGTTTTTGAAGACTCCAGGATGTTAAAGGTAGTAAGTCTATTTTATCTCTCAGGAAAAGCTGTAGACAGGGAGAAAAACTAGCCTTTCAGTGAGAAGTGTGTTACAGTTAGCAAAACTGAAAGGGCAGAGATGTTTAAGCCCTTCGGTTCCAGTCATGGAAGTACAGCATTTGGAGTTTTGTGCCCTCTATTCTTGTCTTTCTGTGGTCCAGTATTTCCTCGCTATTCCTCATTCTTGTCTTTTGCAATGGGATATATGTTTTATGTTGGAAATATGTAATCTGCTTTTTGATCATACAATTAAGAGATTGCCCTGAATTTCAAAAGAGATGAATTTTTAAACTGTGTTAAGGCTGTGAAATATTATGGGGACTTTTGAAGTTGGAATAAATGCATTCGCTATAGAGAGTAGTAGTATTACTTTTAATGAGAACCTCCACAAACTAATTTATTTGGGTGCCTGATTCCCAATTGTTGGTACTATATGAACAGGATTAGGAAGTGTGACTGTGTTGACAAAGTTGTGGTACTGAGGGTGGGCTTTGAGGTTTCAATGTCTTTGTTCATGTAGGCTATATGCACAGATTCCTGCATCATACCCATGAAGCAGGAAATACAGGCAGTGTGAACTGGCCAACATAGGTGCTGGAAACATAACTATGATCATCTGAAAAAGCATGAAGTACTCTTAATCACTGAGCTATCTTTCTAGCCCCTGTTCTCAGTTTTCTTACCTTAAGTAAACCTAAAGAAAATATTTTATAGCATGCATCTACCAGCTTCAGACACCATTGCCTCCTTTTCTGCCCCTCATGAAGACTCCAGTGTTTGGATTTAGGACTGTCTTAAATCCACAAGTATCTTATTACAACACTCTTAAATAATTATCTGGCAGGAGTCCTACCCAAGTGGAGTTACATTCTGAGATTTTGAAGATACATAGATGTTGTTTTGTTTTGCTTTGTTTTGGGAGACACTATTTATTCCACAGTGGTGTGCAAAATCCACATGATGAAACTTTATCAACTGTCGTGTATAATTTTGCGTGGTTTGACCTTGTAATTTTCTAATTTTTATTTTGCCATCTTTAAGTTGTTGTTGTTGTGTTGCATTTGTTATCTTTAGTTTTGTTTTGTGTTGCAAAAGAAACATTAAGCATACATTTTAAAATCTCCATTAAAATAATGTCCAAATGTACTACAATAATGGCAATGTTTTTTCTAAGGTATTAGAGCGCAGGCAACTGTTACATAGATGTTCTATTGCACAGAACTAAAAGTTCAGAATTGAGAAAACAGAAAGGACCATAAGATTTCAGGGTGAGTATTTGAAGTAACCTTTTTCTGGCAACCTTGACCCACAGTGTCATTTGCTGTATGGACACATCATTTGGCAATCTCACGGGCTTGCAAGTTAAGCATTAGTGGAATCCTGCCCCCTCTGTTGACCAATGACAGGGGCATTTTTGATAACTGTGCATGAAATACCTCTTAGTTTTTAAGGACAGCAGTGTCCTTCTTGGCCAGGATGTAGCTAAGTGATAAACAGAACCCTCCTGCAGGCTGAGCCAATAGCAGGCCACCATGGAATGATGAATGAATAGCCAATCAGCATTCCCCCAAGTGCCTTTTGATTTCAGAAGACGTTTTGTTCCTTATTTCTGGGAGACACGGGTATGAAATTCATCACAAATCATCACAACATAGTTGCTCTTTGTTTCCAGTTTCTCTTTCATCTTTATAACAAAGTCCAAAGGAAAATAACAGAAGGTTGGAGATTCCAAATTATGAAGACAATATATGGGAGAGTCTTCCTAGTAGCCAGTTGTCCACAGGGACCTTAGAGTCGGTGGGTTATTTGTTGAGATGAAATGAGGGCAGCACACAGACTGTATACTGAAGAACTAGAGTGTGTGCAAAAATTTTCTGAGCCTTAACTCTATCCTCAGGCAAGTGCTGGCATTGAGATAGTTTTTTATGACAATGGCAGCTTACCATTTTGATTTTTGCCCATGCTGGTCTCTTGAGTGAAGGCTGCTACCCTGTTACTGTTAGTTTTTTAGACCATTTCTTTTCAAGAATGGAATCTGGCTGTGAGTGTTTATGGAAAATGTGTTGGATTCTTCCTACTCCTTATTTTTCTTTGTGATTTTTCTTTGTGGAAGTTTCACTGTCTTTCTCCACAGGAAATGCCTCTGAACCTGGCATGTTCTAACTCACTTGTCCCTGTAGTCCACTCCTATAATATACCACTTTCAAATCATTTTAGTATGTTTCACCTTTCAAAATAAAATGTTGAAAAGCTTACAGGAATTTTCTTCTAACATAATAAATGAAACTAGTACAAGGCTGTGACAAATCACTTAGTCATCCATCTAATATTTGCAGATTGCTGCCTACCTATGTTTCCAGTAAACACATTAGATAGCAAACTAAACAGGCTATGAGTCTGTCTTCATAGACCTTCCATTCTAACCCTGTTTCTGAGCTGTCTCCTCTGTTAAATGACAGAGGCTTGTGCTGGTCAATAAGCTGCTTTTGAATCCTGTGGTCACGCTCTATATTATGTTTTCTCTTCAGACATGTGATTTTTTTTTAGTAGATATGGCATACTGGCTAATTGCTTCTATCTTGTGTCCTATAAAAATAAAACTGAATGCGCACGTGAACTTCCAGGAAGCAATGAGTGAATGCACAAGACCTGCAGAAGATCAAGCCAGCCCAAGTCCCAACATAGATGAGGGAGGGGCTCATGAAGTCCAACCCTAGCTGAGGAACTGATGGCTACTGATGGCTGTTGGATGAGGGAGAGTCAATCCTCTTTAAAATGCAGTAACTAATAAGCTATTCATGCTCTCTTAGGCAGTCCTATATTCAAGTACATACTGAAGTTGGGAGAAAAAAAAATGGTGAGAACTACATTTACTCTGATCCAGTCCCAGTTACAAAGATAAAATACATGTTCTTAAAAATTTGGAATTGAGGCAGTGGGAAATGAATATAACAAAAAACATGATATGCATTTATGAAATTCTGAAACAACAAAAGAAAAATTATCAGTCACTTGAAGAATAGCAACCAGCATCGATATTAAACATTCCACCAAAAGAACATTTGTTACCAACATGCAATTCAAGCTTTCAAAAGAATTAGTCACCTTAATTAAAAACGACCTTTATGTAACCTGAAGTGAAACAAAACAAAGCTACTTCACCTGAACTTGTTTCTGTTAATTTCAATTTTGTCTTACTTCAGACCCAAACCAATAATCTATTAAATTACTTATTCTCTGAAACACATAGTAAATTGGGAGTTTATTTTAGGAAATTATTGAGTTTAAAACATCTATTTTAGGTAAAATTAAAAAAAATATACACCTAATCTGTGTATCTGTGTGTATGTATGTATATACATACATATATATGGAAGAAGGCAGAGGAGGGAAGGACAAGGAAGAAAAGTCATCTTGAGTTACAGGCATATTCCCCTAAGAGAAAATCAAATATAAAAATTTTACTTCATAACAAAATGCAAAGTAGGAAGCAAGTGGCAGAGTGTCAGTAGTCAAACAAGCAATTTGTTTGAGCAGGGACGTGGGCCCCATCACCACATTCACATTAACGGAAGAGAGTAGTGGCCAAAGATCTTTTAATACAGTACTGTTCATGCCAACACAACAGAACTAAACTTTTTGTTGAGAAAATGTCAATATTTTCAGAAATAAAATTAATGAAAATATTCTTCAATAACTACATAAGCAACACCAACTGGATCTTTGTAAATGGGGCCGGGCCAGAGTAAACACAGTCCTCTAGACGGTGCTTATTGATTTCATTATCACTCATGCCCAGAATCTCAGTGAAAGGTCACTTAGGTTTGATGTTTGCTCTTCTGTCCAGTGTGTTTTCTTCAGATTTTTTCATTTGTCAGTATTAATAAGTCATCCTTTGCTGATGGTACTGCAAGTGCAAGGGTAGGAGGAAACGACAACTCAGTTCTCAATGGATGTATTTTATCAGCTGATTCCCTAGCTTTATGTTTGTATGTGAGAAGTGGGGAAGGGCAGAGAAGGGGAGCTTGCAAATCTATCTTCTGTCCTATACCCTTATTTCAAATGGCTGTCACAGCCAGAGGAAAAGAAGTGCTAGCATCTATGTTTATCTCTAAGTAGATATTTAGAACGTGAACAGACTTTGATTTCAAAAAAAGAAGGTGAGGAAAAATGGAGAGGGGATCGTAACTGGACAGGGACATTGGAACTCAAATTGAATTCAGTCACTAATGAAAAGAGGGAGAGAGTGACTTCTTGATTAAAATACTGTCAAGGAAAGTGATGTTGGGAAGCCCATTTTAATGTACTAAGGAGGAGGGGAATTCCCCTTATCAGTGTGACAAAGAGCAAATGTTGCCTGTTAATAGTATAAGAAGGAGGAACACAGGTCAAATGCACTTGTGTCGTACAGCTCAGTTTTCTTTCTTTGTTGTCAAATAAGAAATTGACAGGATGTAGGGACTAGCATTTTCCTTTTCTGTCTTTATGCAAAGACACTCGAGAAAATAACAATACATTTTGGCTTAGAAAAGAGAACATGAATGGAAAAATGAAAATGTGAAAGTGGAGGTTAAGAAAATTTGTGTTTATGCCTTAGTCTTGGTCAGGGTGTGAAGCAAATGGGGTGTAGCTCGGTGACCCTCCCCTCCTCTTTCTTTTTGTTCCAGGTGTTTCCTTTCCAGGAAGGCCCATCTTCTTGCTGTCCTTACTCTCAGCCAGTGAGAACCGGCTTTCTAACCACACTAGCAATAGAAGATACCTCCTTAGTAGCTCAAGCTGTGTGCATCTGGCAAGCAGGCCTCCTTGGTTCTCTGATAGGTACTAGTAAACAAGGCTGCTCTATAAATCTTGCAGACAGATAGTAGGAATGATTTATATCTACAGACAAGGGAAGAGTGGGTGCATTCCTACTCTCAGGAGATCCTGAAATCTGCGACTGTATCCCAGTCTGCAGTTTAAACCGGAAGAAGAGATACTCATCTCACTGAGAAATTCATCTCACAAGACTCACCCTGTTCCTCATGATAGTGAATGGAGAAGGGCGCCCAAATCCATGCCCTTCCATCACCTGAAGGCTCTTATCTTGCCATACAAGCCCAGTTTCAACTATGCTACTGAAGTTTTCAAATAGATGTCCAACGAAATTAAGTTGAAGTGAATATGTGCCTGTGAAATACTACATGGCAATGCCAACAGGCTCTAGCAGAGATACATGTAGTTTCTAGAATTGGACAACAGATGGCAGCATTTATACATGTGAATTCATATTGACATGTATTAGTAAAAGTAAATGGTAAGTTCTCAAAAGCGTTAGTATGAAAAAACTAGCCTTTGTGATTTGGCAAATCTGTACCATTTCAGTGATCATTTCATCATCTTTAGTTAGTGTCTTTTGTAGTTTTATCCACTGGTCATTCTATTACAAACTGCTTTATCTCTTACAAAAGAAACTCCAACACACACACCTCAACTTGACTTGTATAGCGCTGAAAGAAGTAAAATGTGAGGAGATCAACCCCGAACACCCACCAATGTGAGCAGAGATCACAGTTTTTCTTCTTTAGAAAATGGGTTTCCAAGGATGCTTTCTTGCATCCAATCTACAATGGCCTCTTGCCAGTCTATAAATGCCCATAGCTGGTTCTGTCAATGGTTTTTGATTTACAGACTAAGTGCTTTATGGGGCTTAACATAGCAACACAAATATTTAAATTGCTCCTACATTTTACAACCTTAACTGCTGCATTTTATATAAAGGGCCCAAAATGAATATTGTTATTGATAAAAATTGGATGTGCCAAGAGGACTTAGGATCACTGAGTCAGAGAGAGAGAGAGAGAGAGAGAGAGAGAGAGAGAGAGAGAGAGAGAGAGAGAGAGAGAAAATGGAACATACTGAGAAATCCAAGCTGCATGATGAGAAAGGTAGGAAATCCTCCAACAAGTATATCTGTCATCCCTTAATGTCAGCAATAAGCAGAGATGGGTTTATGTTTGATCCTTCAGAAAACTGAACTCCCATTATTATTTCATAGTAACAAATATGAGTTTTAAAATGAATAGTACAGTTTGGGAAGCAGAAGAGTAATTTATGGGGATTCCAAAAAATGTGGAAATATTGCTACCTGTTAGAATCAACTTTTGTCATTTGTTTGTTTCTAGTTAGTATGAGCCAGTGTTCCTAAACTGCTTCTGTGATGGGCAAGCTTCAATGTTAGGTCCCCATACTTTGCGTAGATGCACTGGGCAGGATAGAACTCAGTGAGGAAAGTCCAAAGCCTCAGCCATGAGTTGGTGAAGCTGTGTTGCAGGCTCTGGGCTTCTAGACAGATATGCATTGCCCTGCAGTTTTATGTGTCATCTGAAGTACCCACTTAAAAATGACCAGATTTCTAACAAATAGCAGAAAATGCTTCAGTAAAGCTAACACAAGTGTCAATGAGTATGTCTTTATGAAATGGTCTGGTGTCTGAAAGTAAACCTGAACTGTCTTACTTGGGGTAGTGTTTGCAGCCCTCCGCATTTTGCCTGGCCAGGTGCTTCCTACTAGAGTACTCTTCTCACTAACAGCCAGATCCCTTCCATAGGAAAGGTGTAAGCTGCCGGGAAGCTAAGTTGGTTTTCCAGTCCTGGTAAAGACTTCATAAATGCCTCCAAGCAATGATTAAGTAATAAAAATTGATTGCAATTAAAATTAACTTGATAACTAATAATAACAGTAAGTTCTTTTTTCAGCCTTCTGATTTTACTTGAAACTTTGCCAAATGTTTTTATATGTGCTGGTTAACCTGATACTAAAACATCATATGATGCTGTTGTAGATTATGGTATTGATAACATGACTACAAAGTTTATAATAGCTTTAACGTTGTAACATTAGTTCTACATTTCCAATTAGGAAATGTAGATAAATACCTTTTCTATCATTAGTGATTCAAAACTGAAAAAAAGCTTAACTAACTGATTAGAGACCTGCAAGGTATTAAAATCTAACTTAATGATAAATAAAGATTAGAGCCTTTGGGGGGATACTTCATAGTTGAAAAAATATATATTGAATTGAAGAAAAGATTTAAAATTTTAGCTAACTTTATTGTGAGAATTTAGGAGGATTTTAAGATCTCACCTTTTCTTTTTTGAGGTGTGTGTGTGTGTGTAAGTTATGAGATGGGTGCCTGGGTGTCATTGCACATACTGGAGATCAGAGGACATATCTGTGTAGTTACTTCTCTCCCTCCACCTTTACATGGGTTCCAAAGATAAGACTCAGGCTTGACAAACACCCTTTCCCATTGAGAGCCAGCCAGTTGGCCATCTCACTTGCCAAGGACCCATTTCTTAAATGAGAACCTGAAAGCATTTCTTAAAACTGAATATTTAACCACTCACTGCACCACTATTAGACAAATTAAAAATATAAACATTTAATAAGTTGAGTACCTCTCACAGTCTGCGTAATACACCGTAAGAAGCATTATGCTATCAAACATGAGAAGTCATAAGGCAAATGTTGTTGCTGTCAGTTAATAGAAGCAGCGGCAGGAGAACTTAGCTGAAGTTGCTGAGGTTACAAGGATGGAGACCTCGACTATAAGTTGAATCCTCCAATTGCTGATGGACCTCCTCCTCTTAACTTGTCAGAAAGGTTTTGCATCATATATCACCAGATCAAAACGATATTAACCCAAGGGAAATTCTGGGTGGCTATTTTATATATTATCAAATACAATATTAATGAAACTCTCACTGCTCTCTACTAACAAATATCAGTAATCATTATGGAACTGATCATTTTCTAAACAGGTAGGAAACTGATCATACCACTGAACTGTAAACATCCTGATGAGGGATAAAGCAGCTGTGTGCAAAGCATATAATGAGTGAAAGTCACAACACCAGAAGTCACACCATTTGACAAAGATTAGCTGAGGAACTGATTGCTTGCAACATCAATTAGGATACTCCAGAGAATAAGCCTAACACATCTCTTCATGATTCTTCGGGAAGAAAGAGTGATTAAAAACTAGGACTATTTTTTTAATTAAATTATTTTTTCTTATTTTACATATCGATTCCAATTCCCTCTCCCTCCCATCCTCCCATGCTCCCCGACCCCCCTCCCATCCCATTTCCCACCCACTCCACAGGGAGGGTGAGGACTTCCAGAAGGGATCATCAAAATCTGTCAAGCCATTTGGAGTAGGGACTAGGCCCCACCTTTGGCCTCTAGGCTAAGGAAGTATCCCTCCATGGGGAATGTGCCCCCAAAATCCTTTCATGCACAAGGGATACATCCTGGTTCCACTATTAGAAGTCCCTGGTTCCACTGTTAGAGGTCCTGTAGACTGCCCAGGCTTTCTAACTGACACCCACATTCAGGGGGTCTGAGTTGGTCCAATGCTGGTTTTATAGCTATCAGTCTAGGGGTCCATGAGCTTCCCCTTGTTCAGGTCAGCTGTCTCTATGGGTTTCTGTAGCCTGCTCTTAACCCCTTTGCTTATTACTCCTCCCTCTCTGCAACTGGATTCCAGGAGTTTGGCTTAATGTCTGCTTCTATTTCCAACAGCTAGTATGTGAAGGTTCTAGGATGGCATATAACTTAGTTATCAATCTCATTATCAGGGAAGGACATTTAAGGTAGTTTTTCCACTGTAATTCAGATTGTTAGTTGGGGTCATCTTTGTAGGTCACTGGACATTTCTCTAGAGTCAGTTTTTCTCTTCAAACCTATAATGGATCCCTCTATTATGGTGTCTCTTTTCCTGTTCTCCTCTATTTGTTCCCTGACTCAATTTTCCTGGTCTTCTGTTCTCCTCCTCTCCTGTTTTCTTTCTCCTAACTCCCTCACCACTCACTGCCCCTCCCCCAGCTCCCAATAAACTCAGGAGATCATCTCCCTTTCCCCTTTTTGAGGGACCTTGTATGAATCTCTTAGGTTCCCCCATGTATCCTAGTTTCTCTGGTGTTATGAATTGTAGGCTGGTGATCCTTTGCTCTATGTCTAAAATCCATATATGAGTGAGTACATACCATGTTCCTCTTTTCATTACTGGATTACCTCACTCAGGATGGTATCTTCAAGTTCCATCCATTTGCCTGTGAATTTCAAGATTCCAATGTTTTTTGTTTTGTTTTGTTTTCCTGCTGAGTAGTATTCCATTGTGTAAATGTACCATATCTTCTTTATCCATTCTTCAGTTGAGGGCCATCTAGGTTGCTTCTGGGTGCGTGCTATTACAAATAATGCAGTTATGAACATAGTTGAACAGATGTCTTTGTTGCATGGATGTGGATCGTAAGAGTGGTATTGCCTGTAGTAGACTGATTCCCATTTTCCTGAGGAATTGAAAAACTAGAACTATTTTTAAAAGATACGAGCTGTCACAAACAACTCATTCGAAGTTGCTCCTGCCACTAATGCCTCTTTGGTAAGCAGAGCTGATGGCATTAGCAGATTATCAGCAGATTCACATAGTCAGAACTGTTACTGATCCCTAAATAAATCATCTAATGCAAATGACTCTGGGACCTTTATGAACTGAATATAATGAAGGTAACCAGTTTAGTTATTTGTGAATTGTAGTTTTTATGAATAGCTTTAAGTTTTCCTAACTCATTGACTTGTTTTTGTCTAATATTTTGTCTAAGGACTCTTAGGAAAGATAAAGTGTTACCTCTTAAAGAGGCCACTGCCATCTTCAACTGACCGGAAGAAGTTTGATCATGAGTTTGCCATCTCCACTTCCTTTCATGGGATACATAACATTGCCCAGAACAAGAGCAGGGTTCGAAAGGTGATCTGGCTGTCTGTGGTGCTGGGCTCTGTCTCACTCTTGGTGTGGCAAATCTATAGTCGCTTGGTCAATTATTTCACATGGCCAACTACAACATCTATAGAGGTTCAGTATGTGGAAAAAATCGAGTTCCCAGCTGTGACATTCTGTAACTTGAACAGGTAAGAATAATTGCTTTCGTCATGATTTTTAATTAATTTTAGTTTAAATGTATTTGGGTAATTAACATAAGGTATTCTGATGCAGTATTTAACATAGGCCAAAAGCATTGGAATTTTTAAATTGAAAAGAAACTTGCTAATTCCTTCATCCATTCACTTTTTTTTTATTTTCCCCCCTTTCCCTTGCACAGTAACATGCTGGGTAATTACAAAACTCTATGGTTAAGTAGAAGTAAAATAACGTGTCTCCCTGAACTTAAATATGTTAATAAGAGAGGGGAATCTTTATGTAATAGAACAATTATTAAACACAGAATAGATATATACCCAGGCATTCTATGTGGACTGTGCTGGAAATAACTGGAGGCTCCAAGAAATAGATGAAGAAGAACTAAAAAGGGCCTAATACACAATACATGGAGATATTGGGTTTGGTTGATGATATGATGGGAAATCTTAGTAAAGGCAGGGCTAGCTAGAGACCCAGAGGTATGTATCTTGGTCCATTGCTTAGAGCCATGAGATCTGAAGACCATTACACTCTGCAGAGTTCTCTGAGGACAATCTCAATCAAGCTCTAGACTGCAGTCTACTGCAGAAAGTTGCAATCACTGTACAATGTCAGCAGCTGGAAGGACAGCTTTCTCCTTTAAGGCCTTCATAAACAAAGCCTTAGAGCTGTCCATAATGATCAGATCTAGGAATTTTGCTGGAGTCTTAGAGCACCTTTTAAAAAAAATATTTATTTTTATTATTTTACATATCAATCCCAGTTCCCTCTCTGCCCCTCCCTCCCACCATCCCATGCCCCACCCTGACCATTTCCCCCTACTCCACATGTAGGGTGATGTCTCACTGGAGGTGTCACCTAAATCTGTTAAGTCATTTTTAGTAGGGGACAGGCCCTCCCTCCTGCCTCCAGGCTAAGGGAGTATTCCTCCACAGGGAATTTGCTCTCCAAATCCTCTCTGCACCAGGGACACATGCTAGCTCCACTGTCAAAGGTCCCCCAGACTGCCCAGGCCTTCCAACTGAGACCCTTGTTTAAGGGGTCTAATGGTGGATTCCCAGCCATCAGCCGGGGACCCATTAGCTCCTCCTTGTTCAGGTCAGCTATCTCTGTGTTTCTGTAGACTGGTCTTGTCCTCCCTCTCTGCATTTGGATTCCTGTTTGGCTCAGTGTTAGCTGTGGACATCTGCCTCTGCCTCCATCAGCCACTAGATGAGGGCTCTATGATGGTGGATAAGTTAGTCATTAATCTCATTGTCAGGGAAGGGCATTTATGGTAGCTTTTCCACTGTTGCTCAAGTTGTTAGTTGGGGTCAGTCCAGATGTCTCTGGACATCTCTCTAGAGTCAGTTTCCTTTAGATACCTACAATGGCTCCCTCTGTTATGGTATCTCTCTCTCTCCCTTCTTCCCTTCCTCCATCCTTCCCTCTCTCTCTCTCTCTTTCTCTCTCTCTCTCTCTCATCTCTCCTCTATTCCTCCCCTGACTCAATCTTCCTAGTCCCACATGCTTTACTCTCCTCCCCTTCTCTTTCTCCCAGCCCCCTCTCCACTCATTGCCCCCCATATACCTCAGAGCACCGTTTTAAGATTTACAAGTTATTAATGAATTAACTGTGGACAGATCCCTTCATCTGTGTGTGTGTGTGTGTGTGTGTGTGTGTGTGAGAGAGAGAGAGAGAGAGAGAGAGTGGAAGAGGAGAAAGAGAAAGAGAAGACTAGCTAGATGCAGAAAGATATATAATATATTCATCTGTTTATGTATTTCTGTCACATAAGTTCAAGTAATGCAGTCTGTTTCTTATCTGGTGCAATTCTAGAACAAGTATTGGATACATTGTACATGTTATAAGGGGTTTGTGTGACTGGTCAAACTTCTTCAAAGCTTCAAGTTAAGTTTATACATTTGGATCTCAGAAGACAAAGAGAGGACAACTCTCTCAGGAAGGCAAAGACCCTCAGGGTCCATTACTTCACACTATTTATTTTACTTTTTATTTAATTTTGTATTTACATGCCAACCCCAGGTACCCTTCCCTGTACTTTTCCTGTCCCCCCACATTCCCCATCCTGCCACCCATTCACTTCTCAGGGGCAGGTAAGGTCTCCCTTGGGAGTCAACCAAGTCTGGCATACCAAGTTGAGACAGGGCCAAGCCCTCCCTGCCTATATCAAGACTGAACAATGTATCCCACCATAGGGAATGGGCTCCAAAAAGCAAGTTCATACATCTGGGATAAGTCCTGGTCCCACTGTCCAGGGCTCCATCAACAGATCAAACCATACAACTGTCATCCAGGTTTAGAGGGCCTAGTTGGTCTTAAGCAGATTCCCCAGTTATCAGTCCAGAGTCCACAAGGTCCCATTAACTAGCTCAAGCCATCTGTAGTTTTCCCAATCATGATCTTGATCCCCCTCCCCTTGCTTATATGATCCTTCTTCCCTCGCACTCTTGGAACTTGGCCTAGTGCTTGGCTGAGGGTCACTTCATCTGCTTCCATCACTTACTAGATATAGCTTCTGTAATGACAATTAAGGTAGTAAATAATCTGACAAGGGAAAGCCAGTCCAGGCACCCTCTCCACTATTGCTGGGAGGCTTATCTGGAATCATACTTGTGAATTCCTGGGAACTTTTTTAGTTTGGGGAAACCCAGAGTGGCTAGGTAAAACTGAGGACCCTAAAATGGATACATGGAGGGCCCCATGAAGGGGAAATAATTAGGATCTCCTGGGTAAAATGGGAGGGGGAGAGAAGGGAGGGGATGAGGCATGGAAATGTGAGGGATCAAAATGGCTGAGTTGGAGTAGGGATGTAGAGAGAGAGCAATGAAAGGTATATCTTGATAGAAGTCACTATGGGGTTAGGGAGAAGCCTCACACTATTAAACAGCATACATTCTGACAAAGACAAGCCTGGTTTGTGGGTACACTTGAAGGTGATAATGCTGGAAGAACCATGTTAGGAGATCCACAGTCACTGTTCCCAGAGAATCAACTGTAACTGGTGGGCAAAAACATTTTCAGAAATGAACTGTTAGATGATTTAGCATGAAGGAAATATAGACTATGGAGACATGATCTGTCAAGGGTATTTGTTTACTTAATGTCAACACTAATGGTGAAGTTCTGTACAGCTTAGACAGGTCTCCTCACTATTTTACCTTTTAAAATTTGCCCTCTTGGTGGATTGGGAAAAGAAGCCCAAACCTCCGCATGCCCCATGTCTCAGCCATGGCTTCCAATGTGTCCTGCGAAATTCAGGCTTACATGTTAGCTCTGCCAAGGTCCATGTGGCAGAGGTTAAAATTTTGATGACTGTGACATGGAAGCCAGAGATAGCCTACATCTTTTTTATTCCAATGTGTCACGTGGAAGAAAGGGTGTGTGTGTGTGTGTGTGTGTGTGTAGGCTAGAGCTCAAACTACAAGCTTACCCTATCCTGACCTTACTGAGAGTTCTTCCCACTAATAGACATGTTTTGAAGCAGAAAATAACGTGTTTTAAAATGCTGAAGATGAAAAGAAAAAATAAAAATTTAAGAAAAATCATATAATAATACTCTTATTATTGTTAAATTTTTGGAAAAGGAATACATTCTTATCAGTTGCAAAATTTAATAGTAGCATTGCATTTCCATTTAAATAGTAATACAAAGTTGTCAATAGTGCATTAGTGTTCAGTATACTCAATGCCACACTCAATATAATTTTCAAATATTAAGCTTAATAGATGCATGTTGGAGTTTGCAATCCGTTTCACTTGCAGTTTATTGAAAAACCTATTAATTTCAATTATGAAAAGTTTCTTTACAGAAGCACTGTACAGACAAAGAAGTAATCTCATAAAGGTACAGAGTCATATAAATTAAGTTGTACAATATTCTGGAAAATGAGCTATTATTTATGGCCTTTTTATCTGGACCTAGCCTAGTAAATTATAAATAGCAGGAATCAGATTCCTGCTAAATATCACCATTATATAATTCACTGCAGATTTCCTTTGCATCTTGCCAAAACTCTCCATATCCTTTCCTTCTACTAAAACTAGAGACAGTGTCTAATGGGTAAGAACACATGTGCTTAAGCATTGTTCCAAACACACCACCCAAGTTCTTATGTCTCTTCATCTTTACAATCACTGTGCTCATTTATTTTCACCAAATCTTTCTAAATGTGTGTGTGCACATGTGTGCACATTATGTGTGTATGTGTGTGAATGCATACATGCAGACTAAATGATTTTTAATGAAATGTGTTAAAGATTCTTTCAGTTAATGAGAGTACCAGTAAGATGTTACATCCAGCTCAAAGCAGAATCCAAACGTCATTCTCAGATTTCTTTAAGTTTTCTGTAAAGATATATTGGCAGGACTCACTGAAAAGCAGAACCTGGCATTAATTCAGATATCAACTGAAACTTTTTAATTTGGGTGATCTGATTTTGGAAGTGAGTTTAGAGCCACTGGTGTGTGAAAGAATATATTTAGCAATTGCTATTGAGGTAAGGAATCAATTTATTTTGCTACATTTTACTGTATATGCTTCATATGATAGGCTCAATAGATAGCATATATATGTATAAATATATGCATCCATATAAATATGATTTTTGAAAGGATATGTTTTATAAAACATTAAGTAAAACATTGTGGAAAGAAGGAGAAACTTTGTCTTGCAGATTCAAGTTCTGAATCCAGTCTCATGTATGGGGAACAAGTACTCTACTTTTGACCTATATTCCCAGCCATCAACAATTTTTCTTAAAAAATTGTTTTTTAAGGTGTGTATTAAAGTTGAAAATAAACTCAGTGCAAGATGTTTTGGCTTTATGTTTAATATTACATCTTATAAAAATTTCATTTGTTTATTTTTAATATTGCTAGGCTTTGTATCATTTAATGTGATAAATTACAAGTATGGCCTCAATTAGTGTAACAAACATAGTTTATGAGAATATTTTAAACTGAAGGCTTTCCTAATAATTTTATTTCCTATATGTATGCCACCCCCAGGAGGGCTAGATAATTCTTTAATTTCACTCATTAGCTCATTGCCTCATGGCTTCTATAAGAAATCAAAGTTGTAGAGTGACTATTGATTCAGGGTGAAAACTGTGTCTCTTTCCAAAATCTGTTAGCTACTAACATTGGAAAAAATAGTTTCCAGAAATGCTTTTGCCTAAGAAAATGGAGACTGTGAACCATCACAAAACATCAGACATGTGTATCAGAGTGAGAAAAGTATCTCAGAGTTTTGAAGTAGGATGTTTGTAGAGTCAGTATGTAAGGCTGACCATGAGTGGACCAGAGGCAGTGAAGTAAGACATTAGAATATGTTAGATGCTAGCCAGGAAACAGTTGCAATCTTTGACATGTTAGAAAATATCACATATTATTAGCTTGAAGTTCTCACTTGTTTCTACTGGAAAAAGGTTTAATATGGGCTTGTATTAGAAATTAACTTCTTTTTGTTTTGTTTTGTTTTTTGAGACAGGGTTTCTCTATGCAGCCTGAACTCTACTAGAACTCATTCTGTAGACCAGGCTGGCCTCAAATTCATAGAGATCCACCTGCCTCTGCCTCCAGAGTGCTGGGATTAAGGGTGTATGCCACCACCACTACCCAGTGAAAGAAAAATTTTAAAGGCAAAACATTATATAAAAAAGCTATATTGACTCATAAACATACACACACTAAAACAGCAATAATAATTAAAGAAGAGATTATAATTTTTGGAGGTAGACACAGTAAGAGTTGGAGGGGAAGAGGGTGGCATGGAAATGATATAGATATAGAGCTGATATAAGAAGTTTCCCAAAAATTAAATAAATACTATACCATAAAAACAAATAAAGCCTAAAACTTCAAAGAAAATATAACAAGACTATTATCACACAAAGATCATATCTATAAATATTCAAAATGGGAAAATATACTAAATGCAGTAATCATGTCAAAATCATGTAATTTTCTGATAATCATTGTTAAGTAGCTCAATAGAAATTACTAAGTAAATAAACCCCCTCTTTAAGTCCAAGCGGATCAAAGTCCTCAACATAAATATCCCCTTTCAAAAGGAAAAAAATGAAAATGAAATCTAGGTCAGGATCACCATGAGCTATCAATACCCTCCATGTGAGAATGGCTATTTCTGAAAAAAACAACCAATAATAATTGTTTTTTTAGGCAGTGGGGAAGAGTAACTTTTAGATATGGTTGGTAGGAATTAAGTTATTACATCCATATGGAAAGTAGGACTGTGCTTCCTCAATAAACTATAGAACTGCATGACATGGAACCCTACCAAGAATAGACCACCATTCAGTTCTGTGCTGTAAGACAAGGAGAAGAGGAAAGCTGCTCATTTTCAGGTTTATAGACTCAAAATATGAAATCATTAATTGTATTTTGAAGAAATGTAAAGGATGCCAATAAAAATCTAAACATGATGCAACTTGAGTTCTAATTGGTCTTAATAAAAACCTGGAGTGAGATATTAGGGAGTGAAAACTGAAAGATCAGAGAAGTAGAGCAGCCAGCCGTTAGAGTTCTTATCTCTACGAAATCCTCAGACTGAAAAGCGGCTAGCTCCTGTCTCCTCCCACTTTATATTCTCCTCTCTGCCTAGCTATATCACTTCCCATTTCCTCCAACATATGGGTGAGATTAAAGGCATGTGTCTCCCAAGTAGTAGGATCAAAGGCGTGAGATCCCAAGTTCTGGGATTAAAGGTATATCACCACTGCCTGGCCTCTATGGTTAACTAGTGCTTTAGCTCTATACACTGGTCTCCAGGAAAGCTTTGTTTGTTTGTTAGATTACATACAAGATATTGCCACATTTCCCCTTTATTGTCTAAATTAGAAAAATAAAGTTATAACTATTATAAGAAAAACTGTATACGATAAGTACTATAACTATACATAATATATATATATATATATGTATGTATGTATACATTAATAATGTCTAGTCTGTTACCAATTGACAAATTCAGAGGAAATACTCCATAGATATCCTGTCTTTGTGAGTCCAAAAGATTATACCTAATTCACTTTCTATTCTAACATGCATTGCCAAATTTATCTTTTAATGTCTCTCAACCTTATACATTTTACATCTCTTTTGTGAATTTCTTTTTTGAATCAGGTAACAGGAAAATTGTAATTACAACTATAAAGTCTTCAACTCTATCAGAGACCCAAGAAGGAAATAATATAACTGAGTAAGCAGAAAGTGTAAGCAAGCGACTTCCAAAAAATGTAAAAAATGACAGAAACAGCTGGAGGCCTGGACAGTCACCCAAGGTTCCTGTGCAATGGTGGGGTATCCATCTTCAGCCTACAGGCCTAGCATGTCTGACAGACTTTTTCTGCGAAGCAGAATATTCTAAAGGACTTCCCTACCCTTCTTGGCAAAGTTTGGCACTCACTTTCTTTTGTGTTCTGCTTGTCCAATTTGGACAGCATACTGTCAGCAGTCAAGGAAAAAGCACATTTTTGTCCAGTGGCTAACTTTTGCCACAAAGAATGAAAACTCCATATGGAGTTTCTTCAATGCCCTTCATCTTTTCTGAAGTAGATTGGTGTTGCCAGGAGCAGACATGACTCACTGTCATTAAAACAAAACTAAACAAAAACAAAAACAAGAAAAAATGTTATTAAGACATTTTAAATGCCATATTCTACAGATCTCTGAAGTGTTTGAAGACAACCTGCCTTTCTAAAATATATCTCTGTTTGACTTTGAAAGCATAACTAATGTGACTACAAGTTTGATTGCCAAAGCTAACCAGTAACTTGCATTTCTTTACATCCTAATGATAACTTTCAAGGACTAAAAACTTGTATTACATTATTAAATGACTTGTATAGATACAATACCTTGAACAAGAGTAGAAATGTATGATCTAACAAATATAATCTCAATTTTGTATCAACATACAAATATTTGCTTTTTAAAAGTAGATTCAATAATCTACCCTTTCAGCCTATCATATCTACATCTCTTTTTTTCTTTCTTTTTTGTTTTTTAGTACAAGAACCCTGAATTTAATCTCCTTTGTTCAACTTTTTAAAATCATTACGAATAACAACATGTAACCAACCACCCTAAATAATGACAAATATCCATAACCCATTGAAGGACCAAAAACTACCCACCCACTTCTTAGGAATGTAGACATCCTGTTCTTAAAGTTACTTCCTTTTGTCTGGGGATGATGACATCTTTAGGAGATCCTGAAAAGAAAAATTTGAGATAATTGTCAAGTCTTGGGAGAGGCAGCTATATAATTTGTTGTCCATTCTCTGCACAATATAAACTGTAGGGCTTGTCTCAAGTCCTGGCTAGAATAGTCTCTGAGGCCACCTTGCAATGGCCCTGAGCAGTTTGTAGTCCAAAGTTGATCTTTAGGTGATTTTTACTGCTTAGTGGTGTTATCATAGTCCTAGTAGAATCATCATTGTGGGGCCTAATCATCCTTGTGGAGACTTCAAAGGTCAGTCTGTTAGGTGTGGTCATAGTATACTGCTGAATACTTAAACATTTTAAATGTCATATGTAGCAGATCTCAGAGGTTGACGGATCAATATTTGTTACCCACATCCAGAGTACAAAAACTTAGTTCTTATTTACCTGATAGAGATTCAAACCTGAAATCATGTACAGAAAGTTAGATGACTCCTTTTTCTAGAATTTGTTAGTACTCTATATGACCATTAATATGACAAAATGTTTAATATATATATATATATATATATATATATATATATATATATTAGATAATATTTATACTTTAAGAAAAGCTTTAACGATTCAAAATAAAACCAAAGGATTATAAGATTGGTGGCAATACAATAGTCCCTTAATTTTTGTTTTTCTTATGTTCCCTATCAGGTGGCTCTTCTGACATGAAATAGAGATTTTGGATTTTACATTAACAAGCAAGCTTGGGCGTAGAGGAAAGAGCTATACTTCCAGCTCCAAAGCCAGACTTAATTTTTACTTGGACTGGGACAAAAAAAAATGCACATGCATTATATGTCTATAGAGAAAAGCAGAAACAAACACTGGGGGGGATTTATGAAATTTTATCCTGTTGGAAATGTGATATGCTTATAGACCAAATAGCTAGAAAATTAAGTTTTATCATTCTAACCAATGCCTTCATTCCTACCAACAGATTCCAAACAGAGGCTGCATCAAAATTTAGCATCATTTTCTTCTTATGGGATATAGTTTCCAAAGTCCTCCGCCTTCAGGAAATTAGTGCCAACAACACTGACTCTTTAGAGACTTTAAATTTTGTTACAAGTCACCAAAACTTCAGCATTACAGAATTTGTCAAGAAAAATGGTTTTTATCTCAATCAAGACACTTTATTGCACTGTAAATTTTTTGGAAAACCATGTGGTCCAAAGGTAATGGTTGAATATTTCTCAAAATCTATTCAAGATAATAGACTATGACTTCATTTCAAATAAAATTGTTCCCTTGAGAAATCAACCTGTTTATATAAGTACATTTCATTAGACCTGCTAACTTCTGCTTTGTAGTAGCAGGATATGTGGGATTCATTTGAGACAAATTTCTTCCTTCAAGATGTTTTATAAGGAGTTGGAGAAATGGCTGAGACAGGAAGAGCATTACTTGCTATTGACCTGAGTTCCAACCCAGCAGCCTTAGAAACTGGTGATGCTGCATGCGGGGCAGGATGGTGGGTGGAGATGGGTACCAGCCTAGCTCCAAGAAATAATGTGGAAAGTGGCAGATACACAAAGTTGTCCTTAGGCATTCATCACACATTAGAATAGCATATGCATGTGCATAAGCACAGGGGCACATGCACACACATGCATGTGCATGCGCGCGCGCACACACACACACACACAAACACACACACACACACACACACACACACACACGGCTCAAGTAAATGATAGATGACAAAAGTTTTAAAGACCCTTTTTGAAGCATAGACTTTTCTCAAAGTAAAAGAACTTACCATAGTAGGACTCTGTAATTTTCCCTTACCTTTCAGCAATTTGGAGAAAACATTTGTGTCCTCCATAAGCGACTATCACACTGTTTTTAAGATAGTGACATTTTACGAGAATACACAGAAATGAGTCTTCTAGTCTTCAACTAAGATTTCTATGTCACATGCACAATATGCACAGTGAGCTTTATATCTACATATATCACATCTAAAAATCTGCATCAGTCACTTTTATAATTAGTCTAAGATAAAGCACAGCATACCTGATATCTGATGTGTTATTTCCTGCCTATCCAATCCCTATTCTATGAAAGAGATTCAAAGTGAGTGTCAAGTTCATAGTCCAAGGAGACAATCAGCCTTCTGAGAGGCACACAATGGATATTCTTGAGAGTGGGCAGGGATAATGACAAGCAGCAAGATGGGTTGAATTCTAACCTAAAGGGGCTTTTCTTCCTTGCTTTGTTTTTACTAATACATTTAAATTCACTACAAAGACAATTTTCACTAGTGATAATATACATTATGAAAAACTAGTAATCTACAAAGTCAATATATAAATTGGCTTAGTTATCTGGATAATATAAAAGCAGGACTGACTTTAGAAAAGACTATATCAATGAGCCTCCTTACTTTGATTCTGCCTCCTGGTCTCTTAACTTTTCCTGCTTGCTTTTGGGATGCTGTCTCCCCACAGCAAGCCAAAACTTCAGCCACCAAAATTTTTCTCACATTGACACATTAACACTCAAGAATCCAGGTGAGAATCCAATGGCAGGCTCATCTTCTGTTCTTAAACGAGTTGCTGAAACAAGAAGTTGGGTATGCAGATCAACCCGGCTTGTATAACACATACACCTCTGTGGAGGATGGGACAGTTATCATTAGAGGTCAGTGGGAAGCAGAATGTGACTGCCCCACAGAGAACATAACGATGGAGCAGTAATGTGTCAAAGGAGAGGCATGGAAGCCATTCGTCAAAGCTTAAAACATGTTTCCATGAATCATTATTTAAAAGGTGAAACAAATTATTTTAATTGTTGTATAAACAATATTAATTACATGTGAAAATGTCTCATTTAAAAATAACATGCAAGTTGACCTAAATGTCCATTATACATGTGAAAACTGTTGGTGAAACACATGCATAAATTGCCAGATTATCAAATCTTTCTAATATAAGAATTCTCATTTAAATACTTGCAAGTGTAGAAACTAATAGAGTGATTGGAACTTTGGGACATTGAAAAGTTCTTCACTGATTGTGTTCTATTTGGTTCATTTTCATATTGGAGGATTTCAAACACGTTTTTACTGAATATGGAAATTGCTTTACTTTTAACCATGGTGAGAATATCCAAAGCAAGAATAAAGTGAGTTTGTCTGGAAGAGGCTTAAAGCTGCTCTTCAATGTCCATCAGGTATTCACTTCACTTCATTCTAGTTTGAGCACAGTACTCAAATTTTAGTAAGAATATCTTCTCTGTCAAATAAGTTCCACCAGCTGAGTTTATTTCACCCTTTGCCAATTTACGCTAATGCCCCATGAATTGTGGATTACTGTTGTCTTTAGATACTCCAGGCATAGGCTAAACAATGTTTGCTGTTCTACTACCTTCTATTATCATGATTCCAGGAATTATGTATGCAGTAAAGAAATGGAAAGTTCTGTCATACCATGTATGTCATTATTACTAAAAATACAATTGTGATAGGATTTCCTTCTGAACATGGAAATAGTTTTTGAGAAGAACTCTATGTATGTATTGATTCATCATCGATTTTTGAAAAAAAGAAAAGGCCCTACTATGTAAGAATAGTACATAAATGCACTTTACCTAAACCTCCTTGTTTGTTGGGTTTGCTTTTGTTTGTGGTTGCTGTTTATAACTGGCCTTGGAAGTTCTATTTGATCCTAGGACTCAGGTGTCTCAACATCTAAGAATTGCATTGTGGTTATTTCAAAGGTGCTAGGTGATTAACTCCCATACCTGCCCTCTGCTACCAAAGGTGTATAAATCAATATTCTGCCATGCTGGTATAGTAAGTATTGAAAGACAAACAGTGAATGACAAGGAAATATGGTAACCTCATCTTGAATCACAGAAAATTACTATAGCATCCATAAACATTAATGAGACCATGACTGCTTTTAAAGAAATTCTGTTATATATCATTTTGATAATTCCCTCCTGTGTCTCACTCAAAATAATTGTATTTATGCCAAAGCACAACCTTGTACTCAGAAACTATTTGACCAATATTTAAACTATTTAGATAATAGCCCTAGGGTTAGTTGAAACAAGAATAATACAGTTGTATTAGTGTAAAATCCAACATATTTGTATAATATAATTAAAGCCTACAAATATAATGCAATGTTCTATAAGCAAAGGATACCTAGATATTTATTTAAATCAACCAAGTCAATGCTTCTTAGAAAGTTTTAACAAGTTCAGGACAAATGGGCCTCTGAGTTCCAGGAGTTTAAAGCTTGTTCTTCAAGGATAATTACATAACAGTGAACTGATTCACTACACAATCTCTATATGTGCACATTCAGCCTTCTTCTTATACCCTGAAACTACAATATCACTAGCAATTTACATGTTGGCATCTTTACCTGATATAGATGTATACATATTTTTAAAAAGATGTTAAAGAAATAGTGTGAATTTCCACAATTATTGAAGAAGGCATTTGAATTTTTGAACAAGGCTTAATTACCAAGATACCTGCAGCAGAAAAGGAAGAGCCAAATAGGAACTTCCCGAAAGGCACCTAGAAGATAAGACAGTCAGAGGAAGTGAGGTCATCAGCCAACACCACTGTGCTTGTGGGTTTATTCAGGAGCAACTGACATGGGTGTATTTGTATACTTCCTTGGGAGCAACAGCCTGTAATACAGCCTGAAAAGCAGTGTTTTAGATCCTAAATTTCAGCACCTCTCCTACACAGTAGATTGAAGCCTACGATGATATAACTGATTTTAGGAAGTTAACCATGAGTTAACCTTGAACTCTGTGTGTATTCTCTTCAGGAGGAATTTACTGATAATCCCATGCCTGGTTTTGCTGATGCTGGCATCATCTTTGTTATTCACTCACCAAAGAAGGAGCCACAGTTTGATGGCTTGGGTTTATCTTCTCCCGTAGGAATGCACGCACGGGTGACCATCCGCCAACTGAAGGTAAGAACCTGGGAGATATGGAGAGAGAGAAGGAATTAGCTGGTGATGAATCCATTAAACATACAAATGACCTTTTCCATGAGAGACACTTTTCTCCTATGAGTTCAAACTATGTCTGGAAAGGTCAATACTTCATTTCAATTCTTTTCCTTTATATGGAGGTTCCTCTGTAGCAAAAGGCAGTGGATTCCTATGTACAACCTAAGTGAGCATGGGGAAGCCTATTGAATCCAAGGCAAGTTCAGATGGAATTAAGAACAGGACCATAAAATAAACTTTAGAATTGAATGTTTTCTCTGTGATGCCATCTGCAAAGAAGGAAAAAAATAAAGAAAACAACTAAAGTGCAAGATCAGCAGTCATGGAGACAAGCTGGTGTGGCAGGCTTCCATGTGACAGACTTAACTCAGGAACTTCCTTGATTAGCTTTCTGAATTGCATCCACTCCTTGTACTCTTGGCGAGTAGACAGCTATTCCTTCCCAGAGATAGGATGTTTAAGTGAAGTAACATAAAGAAAGCAAAGTACTTGTTGCATGTTAAATAAAGGATTAATTTTTGTCATACTTGTTGATGGTTTGTGAGTCAACTGAGTAATATGATGACATAACATTAACATAAACATTTATTTTCTTACATGAATTAATTTAAAAATGGTTGACCTAGCTGCTGTTTTCATTAACAAGTAGGTTAAAAACATAAAGGCTGCTATTATAGTGGCCTTCAGGTACTTTCAAGATAGTAGTATGGACAAATGGGTAAATTTAGTATATTGAAAAAATGTTTAAAAACTCTGAGATAAGTAAAAGTGTACATCATCCTTTAAAGGAAATTGTGAATCAACTGTCTCCTAACCTTGGCATCTGTTGTCTTCAGACAGTCCATCAGGAATATCCTTGGGGAGAGTGCAATCCTGACATCAAATTGAAGAACTTTACAACCTATAACACTTACAGTTGTTTAAAGGAGTGCAAAGCCCAGCACATACAGAGGCTGTGTGGATGTTTGCCATTTCTGCTTCCAGGTAGGTAAAGACTGTCAACTCTTCCACACACTCCTTAATTGGAAGCATAGAAAGCTTGTGTGTATTGAATTTTTTTCCATTCTCATGAAAGTTCATGAGGGAAAATGGTCCACCTGCCACATTTTATCTTAGTCTGAAAGCATTGGAACACCACAGAGGTTTCTGGGAAAGAAAATGGTGCTGTCAGTCTATGCCCTCAATCTTAATTAGAAGATTAAAGTCAGATGTGCTTAAATACCTTAAATTGAATGAATGTCAAGGATTTTGTAATTCAAAATTAAAAATTATTTCATGTATTCATATAGCACTGCAGACTCTAATGATCTCACTATTGGAAAATTCTTTGCCTTGTGAATGTGGAAGAAATGTCAAGACTTCTTTTCATACAGTTTCATGTATTTTCAGGCCCAGAGATACCTCAAGCAATTAATGAGCAGAGGCTAAAACTTGGGTCTGATTTCACACATTCTCATCTAGCCAATGCCATAACTTTCTGTGCTTTCTATAAAATGAGGAGAATTATGTCCTCCAGAGCAGGCCATTATAAGGATGAGACAAGCAACAGAAAATACAGATTAGAATTTATAAAAATGATAGGCCATTGAATGTTTATTTATTATGTTGTCTTTCCTTAGTGTGCTCATAAAGAGATGTGAACTATTAGAAAAGTAAGTAATGGAAGAAATAAAACTGAGCCCTCTCTAAATCTCTCTCTCTCTCTTTCTGTATCTCTCTCTGTGTGTGTGTGTGTGTGTGTGTATTTACCCTCTATCTATATATTTCTATCTCTATCTCAATAAAGACTCACAGACATGTTATTTCAATAAAAGGTAAGGAAAAATAAAAGTGTTCACTTCCTCTCTTCATCTTTTTCTTCCTCCCTCCCTCCCTCCGTCGCTCATTCCTTCTGCCAGGCCCCCCTCTGTCTTTCCATTCCTCCTCCTCCCTCTCCTCATCTTCTTTTAAATTTCTTGAATTTGGGACACAGTCCTCCCCTATAGCCTCAAAAGCATTCTGAAAGCAGTCCATAGTTCTCACAGCACAGTCTCCTTTAGATTTTGAAGATTATTGAGTAAACATTGTAGCTACTAACCTCAGAGACCACTTGTGCGATACCAATGAACAAATATCTGGTTACAGTCAAAGGCCATGGCTTTAAAAATTAGCTCATGGAATAAACCTAGGTAAACTATAAATTGTTTTTCTTCTTTGTCTCAAGTTCTACAGCAGGTGCATAAAAAACTTTGACACTTACATGGCCTAATCCAACCCCTACAGCAGTTCCCAACCTTCCTAATGCTGTGCTCCTTTAATGTGGTTCCTCAAGTTGTGGTGATATCCAACCACAAAATTATTTCCATTGCCTTTTCATAACTGCAATTTACAACTGTTGTGAATTGTAAGGTAAATATTGTAAAAGATAGAGATTTGCCAAAGGAGTTGCAACCCATAGGTTGAGAACTCCTGCCCTCCAGGCAGTTCATCAATGTGTGTACAATGACAAAACTCCATGGCTGGTACAGTATATAATTTTTAAGCCACACTAAATGCTACAATCTCTCAGGTCCTGAGATAACAAATACCAACTCAAAGTTTGTGTTCAGGTCCAGTTTTTAGAGGAAACCCCCCCCAAAGTTTTAAGTCATGCAATTATTAGAAATACAGCATGTATTCCTTCGATTTAGCAAAAATACACTTTTCCACAAGCAGATGCAGTACAGTAACTGGGGTCTTTCCCTAAGGACATCAACATCTCAGGCTCTTTTCTTAGAGACTGGTTTGCAAACACGTTAGCATCTGTGTAGGGTGGAGCTGACTGAAGAGGAGGAAGTGTTTCCCTAGTGGGGAACAGCTCTGCACAGCTGGCACTCATGGCATAAGTAATTATTCTTCCTTCTGCTACTAAACAAAAGTCTCCCCCTGTCTAAACTTTAATAGTTCCTTTTTTTGATTCTGACTTTTTTGCATGTTTATATCAAAGAATCAGAAAAAAATGTCCATATGATATGAAGAATGTATAGAGAAGAAGATATAGAAAAGAAATATACTTTTAAATTGAGTTGCTAATTTTATCAAAAATCTGGGCCCACATGTAGCTCAGTGCTGGAGGTGACTGTCTGTCTGTCTGTCTCAGTGCTGGAGGTGACTGTCTGTCTGTCTGTCTCAGTGCTGGAGGTGACTGTCTGTCTGTCTCAGTGCTGGAGGTGACTGTCTGTCTGTCTCAGTGCTGGAGGTGACTGTCTGTCTGTCTGTCTCAGTGCTGGAGGTGACTGTCTGTCTGTCTGTCTCAGTGCTGGAGGTGACTGTCTGTCTCAGTGCTGGAGGTGACTGTCTGTCTCAGTGCTGGAGGTGACTGTCTGTCTGTCTCAGTGCTAGAGGTGACTGACTGTCTCAGTGCTGGAGGTGTGCTCAGAATATTTGAAGTTATGAATTCAATCAACTGCATCCTCAAAAATAAAGGCGCTAACAAACTCAAATAACAATCTCCAGAATCAGTCCCCGAAATCACTTCTCCAAACAGGTGCACATTCCAGAGGTTCACTGTCTTTTCAGTGGGAGAATTTTATTTCAAGAAAACCCTTTATATGTTACACTTACTGTTTTTAAGGAAATGGTGTCGAGTGTGATCTACTAAAACACTACAACTGTGTTTCTCCCATTGTCGGTAAGTGGCTTGAGTTTTTTCTTAAACTTTTGAGGATTATATTAAAAGTATTTAATTCCAAGACATGAAATTACACTGTGGATATCATCCTGAGATGAAAAAGAAGTTATATAAAGAGTTTTTAAAAGTTCTTTAACACTCACTACATAACCACAGTAAAAGAAAATTCCCTCTGACTATAGGATATCTCTCAGTTAAATGCACAGGACAACAGGGTACCCGTGAGAGCCAGAGGCTGATTTCCAAATCTTTATGTTGTATCTAACCTCTGTTCTCTATGTTACCAATATACCCTTGATTTTTATTTCATAACTGAAACATTTTAATAGCTAAATCAAATATTCTGAGTTAGAAAAAGAATCATGTAAAACTCAGTAGAATCTTGTTAGTTTGAAAATTATTAATATTTTTGAGAACTTCACTTTCATTTACACATGTCACATATGACATTTTTGTGTAAACTGAATCATAACCACACATGTCTTATTTATTGACAACCTAAACAGATTTATTTTGCCTAAACTTTGCATAGATCCCAAATTATTAATATTACATTATATTCTTGTATAATTTTATCCTTACACATGATATCATATTTGTGTTTGTAAATAATTGGTTGCCCTCTTAAAATGTAATATATTACATACCCTTTGGTTTTTTTTTTTTTTTTTTTTTTTTTTTTTTTGTGGGATATAGCAACCTATCAAAATAACCCAGGGGACAAAGGATTTATTTTAACTCACAGTTCTAGGTTACATATATCCCAGGACTGTGGAGAGATTAAGGTAGTAGGAACTAGGAAGTGATGGTCGTATTACCTCCACAGCTAAGAACAGAGAAGAGTGAATTGAGAAATGCACACTTGTTCTTACTTTGCTTTCTCATGCAGTTCAAGATCCCTTAACTGGTTCCACCCACAGTGGGAGGGTGTTCCCAACTCAATTAAGAAAAATGATGAATAAAATACCATAGACATGCCCACAAGCCAACCTGATCTACAGAACTCCCAATTAGAATTTCTGTGCCAGATAATTCTAGATTTTGTTAGTTGACAAAACTAACTATTGTACTCTTCTATGAAAGTCTTTTATTCTAACCCATTGTAGAAATATCTTTAAAGATGGCAGCAGTAGAATAAACATTTTCTTTTAAATGGTAATAAAATATTTCAAGGTGTGGGTATGAGGTAGATTTATATTTCTCTTTAGTTTTCAGACCAATTATACAAATGATGTAATGACACACTAAAAACAAAAACTATGGTGTCAAGCTTTTGTTTTCCTGTCACTGATGAAAGGTAGAGGAAGAGCCGGGGGGAGGGGGGGATCATGCATACAGTAGTTTGGGGACTACTGTGGGATAATAGGATCACAACACTGTGCAAGCAAATGTGGGAGTATAGCGTACACATGCATGTGCTGGAATATGTGAGTATGAGTGTGGGGATAAATGTATTGTAGGCTATTTGTATATATGAGTGTGTCAGAGCACATGCATGTAAGTGTCTGTATGAAAATAGCATATGTGATCATATGAATGTGTTAGATTGTGTGTACCAGGTGAGAACCTGGTAAACAGAGAACCTCACTGACTGCCTGGAATGCTAAGGGGATAAAGGGAACCTTAAACTAACAGTATTGCACACAAATTTAGGGTAAATCTAAAGATCAGTGAAGTTTAAATCACTGACCTTCAGAATTGTATCTGCTGGCTCCTCCCAAGGGGGTATGGAACACACCACTCTCGATTGTGTTCTGTCCAAATAGTTGATCTTATATAGAAATAGTCCATGAATGTCCTGGCATTTCTCATTCCTAATGAAGATCTGACCCCAGTGGCTCAATGGATCAAGGATTACAGCTGATTTCTGTCTTGTTGGTTGTATTAACAGTAAATTAATATGATTTACTAAATTAGTAGGGATATTTAACTACCTTTTAAATACAGAAAAAGAAATGATGAACTTTAGAATGTCCTGTTTTTCTTGTTGTGAAGTCTGTTATGGTTTCTGTTTCAGACCACATTGAGATTAAGGGACTATGCACAATGGGGACACACAACTCCAGCTGCCCTGTGTCATGTGAGGAAACAGAATACCCAGCTACTGTTTCTTATTCTACTTTCCCAAGTCAAAAAGCATTAAAATTTCTTGCTAAAAAATTGAATCAAAGTCAAGAATATCTCAGGTACTCAGATTAGTCTTATAAATTATTTATGATTAACATTAAATTTTCTTTACAGAACACTTAAAGTTTCAGGAAATGACATGGTGGTCAGTCAAGGGAAGCAGTTTGGAGGTCATTGAGTTAACAATGACAATTATGGGAATTTTGGGACATACAGTCATTTCTGTTAGCCTCTTACTTTAGCTTAGAAAGTTAGCCCATATTATCAGTGTGTATGCAAATCAAAAGCGCAATGGAGAACATGAAGTTGGGAATGCTACTAAAATTTCTGGATTTCCAAGACAACATTATGACTTCTTTCATTTTGATAACTGTTTTATCACTTGTAAACATTACAACTTCCACTGATGATCTGTTTAAATATTATACATTTTCCTGTTACCTAGCATTAGACTAATGGAAATTAACAAAACATACTAATGGTGTATAAGTATTATACACCATTAAGTATATTAGAGTGTATTGATTTCTCCAAACTGTAAACAATAAGGGAAGTGGTTTACAACTGTGTTCCTGAGACATGTTAGAGAATGCCTTCTTGTTTTAGGAAAAATTGCCAATAGGGTCCATTCTTCATTAAAATTCTTATTGCCATCTGAAAATCATGTAGTCCAGACAGATTAATATTCAGCCACTTGATTGTTGGCTCCACCTTTAAGTTGTTGCAATTTTAACAAATATATAAAAAGTATGTATTTGGTGTTGGGATTCAAAGGCTATGGTAGGCATCAGAATTCCTTGATGAACAAAATTTACAAGCCATGCCTTATTGAACATGTTTCCATTGTGATGGAAATGAATGATAAATATGTGAGTGATATAAAAAGGTTCATGATGCTGTAACAGAAAAGACAAAGGAAAAGTCATTCAAAGAAGCCAGAGTGATAAAGAATTGTCTTCAGATTTATGGACTTTTGGTGACAAAGACCTTGAGCAGAAGTGAACAAAACTCTACAGCCATGGGTCTCCAAAGTCCATGCTGATGTTTCATCATGAGTGCCCTGTGTCAGGGGAGTACAGCCACAGTGTCCTAATTCAACATATTGAAGAATTATTATTTATTGTATGAAGCAAAGAGGATATTTGCTGAGGTGTGATAACTCAAATTGAAAGCACAATCCCGAGCCAGACATCTATAACAAAACTCCTAGGGAGATTATGATGGCTTGTGTGACAGTGAGAAGAGTAGTGTGTCAAGCAATGGGACTCTGTCTAGACACTAGTGGTTCCACAAACAGGGTTGCCCATTAGACCGCTTAGGGGTGCCAAATGGAAAATATCAAGAGCTTGACTTGGAATATATTGGAGAGTGTTAAATTATTAGACAAGCAAGTGGAGTTATTAAAAACTCAGTCAACTATATGATTGGAATTCAAAGGAGAGGTCTTGATAGAGAAGAGAGAGAGTCAGGGCCATCGGCTGTATCAAGAGTATAGATTTCAGGTGGTATTGAGCCATTCTTGACATGTGTGAAGACTTATAGAGGACACTAAGAAAATAAAATCATTGCTCAAGTTTGTAAACAATAAATGGAAAATTGCATTTGTCAGCAGGGTAGCTCCTACTCCAGTCCATGTTTATTTTCTCCCTAAAACCTATGAGCATAGCTCTCCCATACTAACCTTGGACAAGGTAACAGCCCAACTTCTTTAGAATCAACTAGACAACTTGGAAATGTCAAGAATTGAATTAAGATTATAATCCATAATTTTTAAATATAATGGGCCACAATTAGAAGATTACATGTATTTCTTCAATTTTTTAAAGAATAAAACATGGAAATGTCATGGGGGGCTGTTTTCTTCCTCTCTCTCTCTCTTTCTCTTCCTTTATTTCTTTTTTTTTCCCAAATGTTACCAAGGCAAGGGTGCCTTCAAGATAATGCTAAGGGGATTAATACTGAACTAACACATGCTGGATCTAATGCAACATTAAAGAGTTTCTGAATCAAAGATGGGGATTAAAAGTAGTAGTGACAGCTATAAACTATGCTTATTCTGTTTCATATCCAGGGAGAATCTTGTGAACATTGAAATAAACTATAGTGACTTAAACTATAAGATAACACAGCAACAAAAGGCAGTGAGTGTACCTGAGTTACTCGGTAAGTGTGTTGACTCCTTCCTCAGCTCTCATTTCCTGTCAGACTAATTTCCTGATCAGGGGTTAGTAGAGGAACAAGAATCAATTGTCCTTGTCTCCTACAAGCCACTAAGTGTTTTTAGTCCCTGAGAAACACCAGTGATGCCACCACACAGTATTTTGCCAAAACAGCCACTGATGCCTATCTCAGAGTTTCACTCACAGTTAAGTTCCCTTCAGGCTGCCACCTCCCCCATGTGACTATTGTACAGTGTTTCAGGAGGTTCACATCTTTTGTCTTCATGCCAGGGAGAGGTAGGAAAAATCCCAAGCAAGCAAGCTTATTCATTTCCTGTACAGCCACTCTCTGCTTTTTCTGCAATTACGACACGGAGTCCTTAAAAAACTACTGATTTCCTAGATCCAGTTACACACTAGAGGAACTCACATAGGAGTCAGAGGAAAACATTTGATTCAGGCATAAGTCTTCTCAGACCTAAGAGCTGAGATTGAGATTATGACCTATGCAGTTACAGAAGAGAAAAAAGAAAAAAGAAAAGAAAAAAGAAAAAAAAAGAAAAAAGAAAAGAGGTCCTACAAAAAATTCACTTTCAAAGAACATTTAACAAATATTAGTTTTCTAGTAGACTATTAATAACATGTACTTCCTTAGAAGGCAGTACTAGAATAGCAATGTTCACAGGGGTTAAAACAAAGGGTGACTGCTAGGGTCTTGTGGTGGAGGGCACTGAAGCATTAATTTTTTTAAGGAGTTCTTCTGGGGAATGTGGAAAGGTTTTAGACATAGTAATGGTGAAGGCAAAAAAGATAAGAGTACACATTGTGCCTCAGAACTGCACACTTACAAATTTTTCAGATGTAAATGCTGTATATATCAATGCAAATTAAAAACATTTTAAAAATGCATTGTTTTAAATATATTTTTTTGGCTGAAAGAGAAATGATAAATGCTTAATTCAAAATGTAATTAGGACACTAGCAGTGCAGTTTGCATGGAAATTGTCTCCTTGCAAAACAGCATAATCCTTCAAGGCCATATGGTACCAAGTTCCAGTTCTGCTTTGCATTTCATGAGTGCATGTTACATTGTAGTTAAAATTTTACCTATCATTCAAATCTTCTAAAGTCTAAATTAAATTTTGGGGAACATAGTTTTATACTGTTTCCTTTTGGAGATGATTTTTATGAATACTATTGTCAGGTACTACTAGTTTGTATTGCACTATACTAAATTTCAAAACAGTATGATTAATGTATATTCATATATCAGTCATGATCAATTTATTGGAGTCAAATAATGTAGACTATAATGATGTTTCATTTTTGCCTTATAAATTAGTAACTTTTAAATGGATTTTTATTACAGCCGATGTTGGTGGTCAGCTGGGCCTATTTTGTGGAGCGAGTCTGATTACAATTATAGAAATTATTGAATATATATTGACAAATTTCTACTGGATACTCATTTTCTTTTTGCTGAAAATACTTGAAATGGTCCAGAGGACTTCTCCACCTCAGGCAGTATAGAAGGAGGCTAATATTGTGTTATAATAAAAGTATCTTTTTTTTAGTAATACATATAATTATAATGACTCTTTCATTGTTAAGTGACTTTATGTCATAGTTCGGAAAGTCTAATAAAAATCATTGAAGATTCCTACTCCTGTATACATGCATCTCTGCCTGTATTGTGTGTTGTCTAATTATTTCTCTATTATAGCCTGAGTACTTCACATAGTAATAATTACAAGGTAGGCATCTTTTACCTTTTTATAATAATGAATGGAAAATAGGTTTAGCTTTTAAATAACTATGGTAATCACACCTATTGAACTGCATATGGTTGTGAGGGTTATTTAAATGTCAACTTGCCACAGTCAGTACTCACTTGGGGATATACAGTTTGCATTAGCAAATGGCTATATCTGTTGGGGATTGTCTTGTTCGTTAATTGACTCAACTCAGTATAGGCAGCAACATTCCCTGAACTGTTAAAGATTGAAGGAAGCTGCTGAAGGCAGCAAACAGGCAAGCAAGAAACCATGCATTTATACCCACTCTGTTTTTGACTGTGGATGTAATTTTTTTAACTTCCTGCCTTGACTTCCACTCAGGAGTGGACTGTTATCTGGAATTGTAAGTCAATAAACCCCTTCTTCATTAGCTTTTTTCTGAGGGTATTTTTATCATAGCATCAAAAGCAAAGCTTGAACAATGGATAATCAAGACAATTGTTCATTTAGAAAGTAGTGTGCATAATGTATGCTTTATAAACTTTCTAGGAAATTTTATTTTCCCTAAGCCACAGAACTTTTGTTATTTCTTCTGCATAGTTTTGTTATCACTGATTTGGGGGAGGCAGAAATCTGAACCTTTTTGTAAGGCAAATTCATAAAATAAATGTTATTGAAAATGGAGCTGAGTCTGTGGTATAGAGAGACTATGCAGCATTTCCTCATTTCTTTCTAATAACTCCTATGTACTTATTTAATCTAGACAAAAGTTTAACAGTTCCATTGGTTATGCTTTAAGCAATCAACTACTTTCAGCCTCTCAGAATTTCAATGCATTCAATGGTGAATTGCTTAAAAGTCTTCTTGTGCACACTGAACAATAATCAAGTCAAATATCTCTAACTCCAGGGCTGAGGTTACTCTAGCTTAGCATGTATGAACACCTGGTTTCAGTCTGCAACACAAAATAATATCAATCTAATTCCCAATTCTTTCTGTATCATATTGTTTGGTTACATTTTCTTCCCAATCATGCAGCATCTTCACTCTTTTTTGCTCAGGTGATTAAGAGAGAAATGGCTTGATAACTAACACATACAGACATGAAAGACACTGTTCGGAACGTACATTAATCTGCAACTGTTTACACTGGTGCCCAGGATCCAGACAGCTCCTGGCATTTAAATGTATGAATGCTATATCTTTGGGAATTGGTAGCAAGAAAATAAAATATTTGTACTTTGAAAATAAAATGTCTAAATGTTGCCTTGAGAAAAGTGGAATAACCTCAGAGCATTATGAAATCTGTGGTAGGAACAACCATAGTGAATGATTACAGCAATGAGCCACCCCCCAAATGATACAGTCTTGACTCAAACAGAAGTGGATGCAATAACAAAATCAAGCACCTTACAATCTCTTATCAAGAAGGGATGGGTCACCGGACCCTTTCAATCTGTGGGTGAACTGCTTGGCAGAAGTCATATGTACATATAAATACAGGACAAAATAACTGAGTTAACCCAAGGAGGAACCTGTATTACAGCAAAACATGATGAATAATTAAAAATAACTAGGGGAAAAAATGTTAAAACATAAAACATTTGAGATGTTTGAAAGGGAACAGGGAAGAAAAGAAACTGGCAAGGTCACTATGACAGAGGCAGTGACTTTTTCTTTTTTTGTAGGGTGGAAAGGGACTCCCTCCATAGATCCAGCATCATCACAGTTACAGTGCAGAACATTTCCTGCCTTTCCCCCATGGGATGAGTTTTGTAACAACAACGCAAAAGCAAAGTGGGGAGGAAGGAGTTAAATGCTGAATATCCTCTTCTCACAAGTTGACAGGAAAAAGAATATTGGCTTGATAATCAAAATCTCTGTTGTAATAGTTATTGCTAAACTTGAATGGGCTGTCAGATGTAAACAAATCAGTTCACTTAGCCTTACAAAGAAGCTAAGGTAACTTTTGAAAATCAAGAGCAGTGGTTGGAAGATGAAGTTGGTATAGTTGATTATCAAAGCTAATAAGTGAAGTCTGCAAATTACAAAGCAGGAGATAACTGTGAGAGCTATAGATACACCCAAGTCTTCTGGAAAACACTAGCTGGGTAGACACAAGACTTACTGCCTCTGTTTTAGAGTCTCCATTATTTCTCATTTCTTCTCATACTCCACTAAACATCTTCCTAACCTGTGATTTCATCCCTGGAAGGACAACCATCTCTTAGGACTCTACACTGCTTCTCAACAAATGGTATCATGGGGTACAGTGCTGGAGTGCAATTTCTTAATTAATTCTACTGTCATGCAATTTCTCTACTCCTATACAATTCATTAGATCTTATGGTCATATGATCTCTTGCAAGCTAATCACCACATTGTATATTAAGTATCATTTTTCAGCTACTTCTTAAACATTTTTACGCAAGATAGTTTGACAAGGCAGGATACATTCCAATATTTAAATAATTTCTTCTCTTTTCAGAATAATTTCGTTTTCATAAAAATGCTTGTTTCCCTGACTTTTGATTATGAATCCTCTGACAAATTCTCCCCACTTTCTTTAATCACAATTTATATATTTCCTTCTAAATGTAAGACATCTGAGCAATAGGAAATATTTACTTACAATATTACAATGAGTCAGTAAATTCATCAAGACAGATGAATACATTTCATACAAAAATTAACACAGAAAAATATTTGCATTCACTTTCCAATTTATCTTTTGAGTAGTTAATGTTTCAGAAACTGGAAACTTCAAGTAAGAATGAAATGAAATGAACAGCCATATATTCACTACTCAGTTTTAACCTAACCAACATTATTTGGATCACTTCCTTCTGATTTTACATTCATGGAATTCTGTGTCCATATTGTTCTTAACACAATGTTTATGTCCACAGACTAGAGCCACTTTCAATCTTGGCCAGAAGAGCCACTTTTGGTTTGGGAAACAACACAGAGATTCATAGCTCAGCACTAAATGAGCCATCTATTTCAGCCCTCTTACTCTGCAAGCACATGTAAGAAAGGAGCAAGACTAGGAGATCCAAACCACAGGAAGGAATTCCATGAAATGCAGACATCTGCACATGACATGGTCATTGCACTTGTGAACTCCCTGAAGTTATGATTACTTGCACAAGATCTATACAAGGTCAAGTCAATAAGGTCGGTCAACACCCCAGCAGACATCACTAACAGGACTCAGTGGATTACAGCAAAATAAATTTAAAAAAGTACATGAAAGTTAGAAGGTACATGTTTGGGTGAGTATGGGAAACATAAGGAAAATAAATAGACATAGATATGATTATGATACACTGTGCATGCATACAATTGTCAATGAATACATGAAACATACTTTAAAATTTTTCAAAAACAAAACAAAAGAGAGGGCTGAATAGCAGCATTCGCATCCCTCTGATTCTTGACTGAGGAGCAATTAGACCCTGTGTTTTCAATTCCTGCTGCCATGGTTTCACAGCACAGTGGTGGACTGTACCTTGAAATATGAGCTAAAATGAAAACCTTAACCAAAAAAGGGAGAAAAGAGAAGAGAAGGAGGCAGCAGAAGAGGAAAGGATGGAAGGGAGGAGAAGGAACAGAAGAAGGAGCAGGAGAAGGTGATAGACTGAGACACAACTCTCAGGATCTATCAGGGCAGCAGAGAGAATCTGGGGTAAACTAATGTAAGAGTCTGGGGGAGTCTGATGAAGACAGGCCCTATGGATAGCAAAAGATCACCAGGTTGTAAACTATAACCTTTTCTAGCACTCAGGGTGGAAGATAAGCAAACATCTCCCTTTGAAGAGATAAGCCTGTATGTTTAATTTTTATGGTTTCCCTAGTGTGTATCTGTGTACATGAGGACTTGCAACCTCTCCACTTATGCTGGTTAAGCTAAATTATTGCTTATAATGCTGAACAACATTTAAGGAGACACAATTTTCTAAAAGGAATGGTCTGACCCACAGCTAAACACTGAGCTGAACTCTTGGAATCTCGTTGCAGACAGGGAGGAGTGATGAACAAAGGGGTTAACACCAGGCTGGAGAAACCCACAGAATCAGCTGACGGGAACAAGGGGGAGCTTGTGCATCCCAGTCTGATAGCTGGAAAACCAGCATAGGATTGACCCAGACCACCTGAATGTCGGTGTTAGTTAGGAGGACTGGGCAGTCTATGGGGCCTCTGGTAGTGGATCAGTATTTATCCCTAGTGTATGAATGGACTTTGTGTGCACATTTCACATAGAGGGATACTCCCTCAACCTAGATACATGGGAGTGAGCTTGGGCCCTGCTCCAAATGATGTGACAGACTTTGAAGACTCCCCATGGAAGGCCTCACCCTCCCTGGGGAGTAGAAAGGGGGATGGTGGGGGGGAAAAGAGAGGATGGGAGGGTGCAAGAAATGAGATTGTTATGTAAAACAAGTTTGTTTCTAATTTAAATAAAAATTATATGTATGTATGTATGCAATGGCCTGACTTAAAATATTGATACTATTATTTTTTTTAACAAAGATACACTAAAAGGGCATTAAATGTCAAGATATGCAAAGATCTAAAGTCAAGGCATTTTGAATTTCAAATGCTGATGAATCAGAGAAGAGATATTACAAACTTCCCAGATAAAGGTGTTAGAAGTATGTTTTTTCCCCCACCGGTCTGACCCCACTGCTACGCCAGCCCCAAATAATACACTGAGACATGCTGTTGGCCAGATACTATCATTTCTTATTAGCTAGCTCTGTCTTAAATATTAACCCATTTCTATTAATCTAAGG